GCGAGGCAGTAATATTGGATGTCAAGAAAGTAACAAATGATGGCATGACAGTAAGTTTTGATGGCAAGACAGTAAAGACAGATGGCCAAATGTTAAAATTGATTACTAGACAGTAACAATTGATGGCTAGACAGTAAAATGTTGTGGCCAGACAGTAACAAGTGATCGACAGTCAGTAAAATCTAATAGCCAAACCGTAATATTTAATTTCACGACAGTAACATTTAATGGCCAGACAGTAATATTTAATGGCCAGACAGTAATATTTAATGGCCAGACAGTAATATTTAATGGCCAGACAGTAATATTTAATGGCCAGACAGTAATATTTAATGGCCAGACAGTAATATTTAATGGCCAGACAGTAACTTTTAATGGCCAGACAGTAAAGTGTGATGGCCCGACAATAAAAAAATAATGGGCAGATTTTGACACTTTATGGCCAGACAGTAACGATTTATGGCCAGACAGTAAAATATGAATGCCCGACAGTTGATGGCTAGTCAGTAACAACTAATAGGCAGACAGTAATATTTAATGGGCAGATCATAATATTTAATTTCACGAAAGTAAAATTGGATGTTTAGACTATAAAGTCTGATGGTCTGAACGTAACAAATGTTGGCCAGACATAAGCATTTGATGGTTAGACAACAACATTTGATGGCCAGACAACAACATTTGATAGCCTCACAGAAACACTTGATTGACAGACCATGACGATTTTAAGCTTGACAGTAAAACTTGATGGCCAGACAGCACCGTTGGATGTCCAGACAGTAACAAATGACGGCATGACAGTCATTTTTCATGGCAAGACAGCAAAGACTGATGACCAAATTTTAAAATTGATTGCTAGGCAGTAACAATTGATGGTTAGACAGTAACAATGGATGGCTAGACTGTAACAATTGATTGCTAGACAGTAACAATTGATGGCTAGACTGTAACAATTAATAACAAATTAGTAACAACTGAGAGATGGCAGAAATATTTAATTGACAGACTGTAACATTTGGTTGTTTAACTGTCATATTTGATGGGTAGGCAGTAAACATTGATGCCCAGACAGTTACAAATGTTGGCCAGACTTTCACAATTGTTTTGCAGATATTGACATTTTATGGCCAGACATTAACAAATGATGGCCAGACAGTAACAACTTTTTTCTAGACAATAACATTTGAGGGCCAGAAAATAACATTTGATGTCCAGGCAGTAAAATGTGATTGCCAGACAGTAACAATTGATTGGCAGACAGTAACAATTGATTGCCAGACAGTAACAATTGATTGCCAGACAGTAACAATTGATTGGCAGACAGTAACAATTGATTGCCAGACAGTAACAATTGATTGGCAGACAGTAACAATTGATTGGCAGACACTGACTATATTTGGCCAATTTCATTTATGACCACGCACTAACGTTTAATGGTCATTCAGTAACATTTGGTAACTAGACAGTAAGATTTGATTGTTAGAATGTAACAATTGATGGCCAGAGAGTAATATCTTATTTCCAGACGAAAATATATTGATGGCCAGACATTAATATTTGATGGCTATTTAGTAAAAATTGGAAGATATACAGTAAGATTTGATGGTCAGAGCGTAAAAATTAATGGCCAGACAGTAATATTTGATTTTCAGACTGTAATCTTTTGATGGCAGACAGTAACAAATGTTGGCCAGACAGTACATTTTGATTGCCATAATGTAAAGTGGGATTGCCATACATTAACATTTTAAGACCAGACAGAAATATGTGATTGCCAGAGAGTAACATTTGAATGTTAGAAATTAAAATTGATGGCAAGACACTGATATTAAAGTCTAGATTGTAACATTTAATGGCCAGCCATTAACATTTAATGAGTAGACAGTATTATTTGATTGCGATATAGTAACGACTGATTGTTAGACAGTGACAAATGATGGCCAAAAATTAACAATTAATGGCCAGACTGTAACATATGATGGAAAGATAGTATCATTTGATGCTCAAACAGTAACATTTGATGGCCAGACAGTTACATTTAAAGGCAAGACAGTAAATTTGATGGCCAGACATAAGACAGTAACTTTTGTTAGCAGACAATAACAAATTAACACTTGATGTCCATACAGTTACAATTGAAGCTCAGATAGTAAATTGTTTGCCCAGACTGTAACATTTGATATATATACAGTAACATGTGTTGCTCGGACTGAAGTCTTGTCCAGACAGTAACATTTGATATATATACAGTAACTTGTGTTGCTCGGACTGAAGTCTTGTCCAGACAGTAACATTTGATATATATACAGTAACATTATAATGCCCGGACTGTAACATTTATTGCACATACTGTAACATTTGATGCCCTTACAGTAGCATGTGTTGCTCGGACTGAAGCCTTGTCCAGACAGTAACATTGGATATACATACAGTAACATTCTGTGCCCGGACTGTAACATTTATTGCACATACTGTAACATTTGATGCCTCGTTATACTTTTTTTTCCAGACATTAAATGTTAATGCCCATTCAGTAACAAATCTTTTTAGACATCAAAATTTGATGACCCACTTTATTAACATTTAATATTAAATAAACAAAAAAGGTCATGTAAGAATTGTTTTTGTACTACCATTTTATTAGCATTTCATTACTTCGAATTAGAGTTATATTAACCTGAAATAAACGTTTCTCTTATAAATTTAGTTAGATTGAGCTATTTATAAACCGCAGTCAAATAAATGAGTCTTGTTTTTATGTACTCATATTGATTGGAATTTAATTTCTTCTGTATAAATATAATTATAATATGAGAGAAATAAGTTATTATAATTGATATGGTGGTTTTTTATGGTGGTCAATTGACGTTTTATTGATCACTCACGTTTGGGAAATACCCTTATAATGTATTCATTGAGTTATTTTTCTCACGAAAATGTAAGTGACCTGTGTCCGAATATAGCTTTTAATGGGAAATTAGATTATAATGTACAATTATAATTATATCAACGATGAATGAAATTGTCGTGTATTAATATAATGATATCGGTGTGAAATTTGGCTGTCATTGCAAATAAAATAATGAGATTATCGGGAAATTGGTTTGTCAAGTATAAATGTCGTTATATGATGGGACAAGGGGTTGTCAAGTATAAATGTCGTTATATGATGGGACATTGGGTTGTCAAGCATAAATGTCGTTATATGATGGGACATTAGGTTGTCAAGTATCAGTGTCGTTATATGATGGGACATTGGGTTGTCAAGTATCAATGTCGTTATATGATGGGACATTGGGTTGTCAAGTATCAATGTCGTTATATGATGAGACATTTGGTTGTCAAGTATCAATGTCGTTATATGATGGGACATTGGGTTTTAGCCTAAACATTCAGTTTTCTTGATGAGAAATTAGGTTGTCATGGATACATGTCGCTACATTACATGGACTGGCTCATTTGGTTTGATCCACTCTGTCGAGTATCGTTAAAATGAGAAGATTGTGATCTGAGCTTTCAAATGGAATTGTGGGAATGTGGGAATAGTGGGAATAGTGGGAATGTGGGAATGTGGGGTATTGAGGTATAGGGATATTGTAACTGTGGGCATTGGAAAATGTGGGACATTGGAATAGTGGGATATGGGAATAGTGAGATATGGGAATAGTGGGATATGGGAATAGAAAGTTACTGGAATAGTGAGATTTTGGAATACTGGGATATTGAAGTAGTAGAAAATGGGAATAGTGACAAATTGACAAAGCTAAAATATCAAAATATATCGATAGGGTGTTAGTGGTGACAGAGAGAGAGAGATGGGGTAAGAGAGATCTGGAGAGAGGCTACATTACGAAAGTCAACATATAAATCATCTGAATTTTTTCATTTAAATAAAACATTTTCTCGCCACTTAATCTTTAAATTTGCTATGAGACATTTGAAAGACATGTTCTGTATATAAGAAGAAATATCTATTTCTGTAACACCTTCTTTTTGTCAATCTATTTCTGTAAAAATGTCCACCAATGTTTGTCTGTAATTTATCCGACAATGCATTTATGTAATTTATCCAACAATCCATTCATGTACACGTGTCAGTAAAAGAAAACTTACATTAAACTTTGAATCGTTCAGTAACATCTAGATATAGTTGTTAGTCATGTTACAAATGATTGGATCTCTACTTTATGCACATGTTACAAATGATTGGATCTCTACTTTATGCACATGTTACAAATGATTGGATCTCTACTTTATGCACATGTTACAAATGATTGGATCTCTACTTTATGCACATGTTACAAATGATTGGATCTCTACTTTATGCACATGTTACAAATGATTGGATCTCTACTTTATGCACATGTTACAAATGATTGGATCTCTACTTTATGCACATGTTACAAATGATTGGATCTCTACTTTATGCACATGTTACAAATGATTGGATCCCTACATTATGCTTTTGTCACAAATGATTCGATCCGTACATTATGCACTTGTTTCAATTGATATCATGCTACAATGTGCATATGTTACAATTGATAGCATGCTACAATGTGCATATGTTACAATTGATAGCATGCTACAATGTGCATATGTTACAATTGATAGCATGCTACAATGTGCACTTGTTTCAATTGATAGCATGCTACAATGTGCATATGTTACAATTGATAGCATGCTACAATGTGCACTTGTTTCAATTGATAGCATGCTACAATGTGCATATGTTACAATTGATAGCATGCTACAATGTGCACTTGTTTCAATTGATAGCATGCTAAAATGTGCACTTGTTTCAATTGATAGCATGCTACAATGTGCATATGTTACAATTGATAGCATGCTACAATGTGCATTTGTTTCAATTGATAGCATGCTACAATTTGCATATGTTACAATTGATAGCATGCTACAATGTGCACTTGTTTCAATTGATAGCATGCTACAATGTGCACTTGTTTCAATTGATAGCATGCTACAATTTGCATATGTTACAATTGATAGCATGCTACAATGTGCATATGTTACAATTGATAGCATGCTACAATGTGCACTTGTTTCAATTGATAGCATGCTACAATGTGCACTTGTTTCAATTGATAGCATGCTACAATGTGCATATGTTACAATTGATAGCATGCTACAATGTGCATATGTTATAACTGACAAAAAAGTTTAACTGGAATCAGTTTTTTAAACATACAAATGTATTACAGAAAAACAATCCAGATAAAATATGACGTCATACATGTAAAACTCAAAATTATGAAGTGACTTGATATTTTGCCAAATTAGGTAATGTTTTGTGAAAAATGATGAACAGAGTAGGCAAATACTTAGACCTATTATGTACTCAACATGAAAACTGTAGATTTACAAGTAATTCCATCTGCTGTTTTATAATCTACTGTTATATAATCTTGTGTTGATCCATATTCTGATTTGTAATCTGCTTTGATACTGCAATTGATTTATTACATAAAACAACTAGAAATGTATGTGTAGAGTATGTAGAATACGTAGCCTTACAGTATAGTACTCGTGACAAATGTGGACATATCGTACCTGCTCTATGAACACGAGCGTAACGTCATTTTGTTGTCATTGCTTCCAGAAAAAGACATCGACCTTCTATGAAAGAATTAAATTTGGAAGTATGTGTGGCCACAATGTGCACGTTTGTAATGTACAATATATGGCTAAAAAATTTTTAAGTTATCTAAAATATATGGCTGGTGGCATTAGACATCTTGAAGAAGTGGGACAGTGCCAGCAAGTCTTGGCTGCAAGAAATCGAATCTAGATATCTTGGTGTTAGATAAGACATTGGAGTTATTCTAACTGGAATATTTATAGAGATGACTTGATGTTGTAAAAGACATTATTTTTATCCTAACTGCCATTTTTATATAACATTGGTGTTATCCTAACTGGCAGTTTTACATAACTTTGGTGTTATCCTAACTGGCATGATAACAGAGCATTGGTGTTATCCTGATTGGTACGTTTACATAACATTTGTGTAATCCCAACTGGCATGTTTATAGAGCATTGGTGTTATCCTGATTGGTACGTTTACATAACATTGATGTAATCCTAATTGGCATGTCTACATAACAACACAGTTTTTCTTTGGTGGTGCTGTCAGGGGCGTTTCTGGTGCGGCCAACGGATCTTCCACGGGGTCCAGTGTGTGGGGGTAGTGGGCCTCCATGTCCCCGGGGGTGGGGAGTCTTTTCCGATCTGGTTGGTTTTTAAAGTCATCATCCGGGTATCCTGCACGACAGAATAGAGAAGACTTACATTGACACGCACACACACACACACCATAATACCATGAAAATATACAACATTTTACCTGACACACACACATATAACCGATTATACCATACAAAAATATAAAACACTTAAACTGAGACACACACACACAACCATGTATACCATAAAAAGAACATTTTAAGTGACACACATACACACACACACAACAAAGGACATCATATGGATGGGGGAAACACACAATCAAGGTCATCATATGGATGGGACATCACACAACTATGGACATCTTAAGGATGTGACAATCTACAGATAGACTTTAATGTCTGCTTATCTACAAACTTAAATGTCTGCTCAACTACAAACAGACTCAAATATCTGCTAATCCAGAGACAGACTTACTTTCCTTCCAAAATCCGAACAAAAACCCTGGACCAACCGGGTCTGGCTCTCTGTGGACAAACAAACAAACAAACAAACGTGATATTATCATTGTTAAAAGTCATCTCCTTACTGTAAGATTTGATTTAATTATTGATTGGGTGCTAAATAAAAACATACTCCTAAAACTTTACCTTGAAGTAAAACCAACAATTAAGTTATAAATATAGTATGACGTATTTACACAAATGTACGTTGTATTTACACAGACGTAAGTTGTATTTACACAGATGTAAGTTATATTTACACAGAGATACAGGTGGCTCTCTCTGACATCGTTGCATCTGTCTCACAGTACTAGTGTTTGACAATGACATGACGACACGGAGTTGACAGTAACAATCAGGTGTATCAAACTAGGGCTTTCGGGCCCCAGATCTGCCTTGAGGCTTTTGGGCCCCAGATCTGCCTTGAGGCTTGTGGGCCCCAGATCTGCCTTCAGGCTTTTGGGCCCCAAATCTGCCTTGAGGCTTGAGGGTCAGATCCGCATTGAGGCTTGCGGGCCCCAGATCTGCCTTGAGGCTTTCGGGCCCCAGATCTGCCTTGAGACTTGCGGGCCAGATCTGCCTTGAGGCTTGCGGGCCAGATCTGCCTCAAGGCTTGCAGGCCAGTTCCGCCGTGATGCCAGCAGGCCGGATCCGTCTCGTAGCCTGCAGGCCAGATTTGCCTCGATGCCTGCAGGTAAGATCCCGTATTCATCCAAATGCCAGGCCCGTACTTTCAATTTGAATACTAATAATTGTATGCTGTTTAAACGTATTCTTCATGTTAAATAGTGTGTTATTTTATATATAATATATGTAATATAATATAATATGTTAGCATTGTGCATAGGAATTATATTATTTAACGAAGAATGAAACGGCCCGAAAGTGTCTCAGAGGCAGTGGTCTGGACCCCTGACTAAAACTTTAGAAGACCGCTGGTATAAATTTAAATGGTTTAGTTGAAATAAAGACAAAGCAATGGCAGTAGAATGGCAGAATGGTTGATGCTAAGATGTAAGCTACATCCATAGACAACTTAATGTTGACACAATTGTTAGACACAATGTAACGTACGGTTCAGGAGGTGTAAGGGGCGCCTTCTGGAGAGGGGGGCGTCTTTCTATCAGTGGCGTCACCACTCTGTAAGAAATGAATTTATTTTGATTAAAAGTTCTTTGTGTTTGTACAACATGTTGATACTTTCATTCAACTTCTTTATTTAAGACATAAAGTAGGTCACCTTGAGATCTTCTGTCACTAGTTCACGTAGTATGTCAAGTTAAACACCATGGTATGTCACTAGTTGACGTAGTATGTCAAGTTAAACACCATGGTATGTCCCTAGTTGACGTACTATGTCAATTTGATAACCATGGTATGTTACTAGTTCACCTACTAATGTCAAGTTAATCATCACGGTATGTCACTAGTTCACCTACTAATGTCAAGTTAATCATCACGGTATGTCACTAGTTCACCTACTAATGTCAAGTTAATCATCACGGTATGTCACTAGTTCACCTACTAATGTCAAGTTAATCATCACGGTATGTCACTAGTTCACCTACTAATGTCAAGTTAATCATCACGGTATGTCACTAGTTCACCTACTAATGTCAAGTTAATCATCACGGTATGTCACTAGTTCACCTACTAATGTCAAGTTAATCATCACGGTATTTCACTAGTTCACCTACTAATGTCAAGTTAATCATCACGGTATGTCACTAGTTCACCTACTAATGTCAAGTTAATCATCACGGTATGTCACTAGTTCACCTACTAATGTCAAGTTAATCATCACGGTATGTCACTAGTTCACCTACTAATGTCAAGTTAATCATCACGGTATTTCACTAGTTCACCTACTAATGTCAAGTTAATCATCACGGTATGTCACTAGTTCACCTACTAATGTCAAGTTAATCATCACGGTATGTCACTAGTTCACCTACTAATGTCAAGTTAATCATCACGGTATGTCACTAGTTCACCTACTAATGTCAAGTTAATCATCACGGTATGTCACTAGTTCACCTACTAATGTCAAGTTAATCATCACGGTATGTCACTAGTTCACATACTAATGTCAAGTTAATCATCACGGTATGTCACTAGTTCACCTACTAATGTCAAGTTAATCATCATGGTATGTCACTAGTTGAACGCAGCATATAAAGCTGGTCGACATTGTTCATCAGTAGTTGATGTAGTTGTAGAGTTGATGGTCGTTTACTTTCAATAGTCGAATAGATCAATAGCGTTTATCAAGATCTTCTATCAACATTGATAGTGTCATCAGTAGCGGAGACGAAATCCTCTGATAAATACCTGGCGTACATGAATTACTCTGTCAGACACCTGGTGCACCTGGCTTGCCCTGTCTTAAACCTAATGTACACGAATTGCTCTGTCTTCTACCTGGTGTAGTCCAAATGTTCTATTTAATACCTGATTCTTCTCGGCCTTGGTTTGCAACATGTCCTCTGACACTTCAGTCCTTTGCACCCGTCAATGCACAGGTTGCCATATCGCCACAGCATGAATGTCAACAATCCAAGCATGGCCGCGCCAAGCAGGGCTGCCAGTATTATCCAAACCAAATTATCCTAAAATAAAATAAAATCGACATAATTATCCACGCATCATAACTAAAGTCAAAATAGTACGAAACAAAATGTTTTAAAAAAATAAATAATTTGGGTGGAATGAAAAATGTCTAAAGCTCCTGCATTATGGCCTTAAAAATATTTTCAACAAAAAGACTTTGAAGTTATACATTAGATCTATTTAGAAATGTAATCTTTAAGTACAAAATATATTTATCAATAGTTCTAAAATAGTATAATAGAATCATTCATATTTTATCCCACAAGTTTAATCTTCACATCAATATAGTTCTAAATAAAATGAGACCTCAACTAGAATTATAAACAAAATAAATCAATATTCTGAAAAAAAAGTTTATATAACGTAGAATTCTGAAAAATGTTTATATAAACTAGAATTCTAAAAAGTTTTAATATAAATAGCATTCTGAACATAATTATACGTTAAATTAGAATTTCTGCTCAACATTTTAAATTAAACTTGAATTCTTAACAAAAGTTTACATAAAACTAAAATTCTGAACAAAAGTTGCCATGATACGAGAAGTCTCAAGAAAGTTGACATTATTCTAGAATTCTCAAGAAAGTTGACATTATTCTAGAATTCTCAAGAAAGTTGACATTATTCTAGAATTCTCAAGAAAGTTGACATTATTCTAGAATTCTCAAGAAAGTTGACATTATTCTAGAATTCTCAAGAAAGTTGACATTATTCTAGAAGTCTCAAGAAAGTTGACATTATTCTAGAATTCTCAAGAAAGTTGACATTATTCTAGAATTCTCAAGAAAGTTAACATTATTCTAGAATTCTCAAGAAAGTTGACATTATTCTAGAATTCTCAAGAAAGTTGACATTATTCTAGAATTCTCAAGAAAGTTGACATTATCCTAGAATTCTCAAGAAAGTTGACATCATTCTAGAATTCTCAAGAAAGTTGACATTATCCTAGAAGTCTCAAGAAAGTTGACATCATTCTAGAATTCTCAAGAAAGTTGACATTATCCTAGAAGTCTCAAGAAAGTTGACATTATCCTAGAAGTCTCAAGAAAGTTGACATCATTCTAGAATTCTCAAGAAAGTTGACATTCAACTCGAATTCTGAGCATTACGTACATCAATAAAAGGTATTCTCACCTCGGTTTTTTGAACTAATGCTGTTGCAGCTGCTGTTGTTGTTACTGTAGTTTTTGTTGTTGCTGTCGTAACTGCTGCTGTAACCGGAGGTTGTGTTGTTGGGCATGGCTGGGTAAAGTTGTGTATCAGGTCATTGAGTTATCAGTTTTTATTTTCTATTTATCTTAAGTTATAAGTATAAGGCATTTTTATTGTCTTGTGGCACGTACAGCCTTGAGCTGTAAATCCTGTTTATTGCACTAGGGACACTAAGCACTATAGCCTGTTATTTCACTAGGGACATTATAAGCACTAAAGCCTGCTTATGGCACTGGGACATTATAAGCACTATAGCCTATTATTTTACTTGGGAACTTAAGCACTGTAGCCTGTTATTGCACTAGGGACGTTACGTACTATAGCCTGTTATTGCACTAGGGACATTATGCACCATATCCTTTTATTGCAATAGGGACATTATAAGCACAACAGCATTTTATTGCACTAGGAACATTAACCACTATAGCCTGTTATTTCACTAGGGAAATTAATCACTGTAGCCTGTTACTGAACTAGGGACATTAATCACTGTAGCCTGTTATTGCACTAGGAACATTATAAACACCATAGCCTGTTATTTCACTAGGGAAATTAAGCACTATTTCCTGTTATTATTATTATTATTATTAGTGGTCTTATATAGCACGGTACCCAAACCTAGGGCTGGGCTCACCATGCTGTACATAAAAATATTAGCAAACAAGAGATAATCGTGACATTAAAATCAAATACATTTATGAAATCAAGAACAGCTGTATAACAACTAAAAAAAACAACTAATGTATATTCTCACCACCCGGCCCTCCCCAGAACTTTTACATGTCAAGCCATGGACGGCAGCCAGCAGCATCGTTTATCGTCAGAGGGGACTCAGTCAAGGTAGTAAAGTTTAAAGAGATGTGTTTTGACTGCTGTTTAGAAGGCCTGGGTAGTTGGTATATTGCGGATGTGTAATGGCAAGAATTCCATTGTTTGGGGGTGTAGAAGGAGAAAGATTGTTCACCATATGTTTTAGTGTGTGTTTCGGGAATGGAAATAATACGCGTGTCTGCGGAGGAGCGAAGCTGTCGAAGGGGTGAATAGACAGAAAGAAGTTCGGTTAGATAGAAAGGGTAGGAATCCGAGAACACACAGCTTGTGATCAATGCATGCCTATAAAGGAAGCCAATGAAGTGAGTGGAGTAGTGGGATCACGTGATCACGTTTTTTTACCTTTAGAATTAGCAAATCAACTGAGTTTACATATTTTTAAAAAAGTGTCTAAGAAGTATTTTGGTGTACCCGATAGAAGAGACTTGCAATAGTCAAGACGAGAGAGGAGAAGAGCACAGACTCGAGTTTTTGTAGCGCTAACTGTAAGGTAGTGGCGGATGGAGCTGATCTAACGGATAGTGGTGTATGCAGAACGACAAATGTGAGAGATGTGTTTATCGAGAGACATGTTGTTAGAAAGAATATAACCAAGATTCCTAGTACCGGATGTGAGCTGTATGTCGGAATTACCTACTTGAATGATATGGGGAGAGTTGAGGTAGAGGATTATGTGTGATTGTGAATAAGGAGTTCTTCTGTTTTGTCATCTTTTAAGTTGCAACTTGCTGAGTGTCATCTATGACTTGGCATCATCAATGCACCCCCGTAAAGTCTGGATATCGGAATCGACAAGAGAAGAATATGTGTGCTTGTATAACTGTTTGTCATCGGAAAATGACTGGCTCTCAACAGCATGCCTCCCAAGCAAGAGGAGCAGTGGTCTGGTATACAATGTGAATAGAACCGGTCCCAAAAGGGGACCCCTGTCGCACTCCGTACACCAAGCCAGCACTGCCGGAGGGACAGCCATCGACAGAGACCGCCTGCGTTCTATCGAAGAGGTAGGACCTAAACCAATCCAAAACTAAATCAGAAATTCTACTAACCTGATTGCAGTCTCTCCCCTTAATACCCTCTATCAGGTGAACTAAGACACACTAAGTCAAACTCTATCAGGTGAACTAGGACACACTAAATCAAACTCTATCAAGGGAACTAAGACACACTAAGTCAAATTCTATCAAGTGAACTAAGACACATTGCTTCAGACTCTTTACAATTGCATTAAGACCCATTCTGTCCAGGTCTATAAAGTGCACTAACACACTACGTCCAATTCCTTAAAGAACCCAAACACTACGCCTAATGCTATAAAATGCACTATGTCACTATGTCAAATTATACAAAGTGCACTAACACGCTTAGTCCAATCCTATAAAGTGCACTACGAAATAGCGAAGATTTATTTTTCAATTTTCGCTGTTACTATTTATTAAAAACGGATTAATTTTTTTTTAACTGCTAAACTAGTGGTTCCCAAACCTTCACTCCAAGGACCCTTTTGGGATTCGCGTGGAATTCTCTTGGGGCTAAGTGACCGCTACAGCAAACTGGCATCAAATATTTAAAAACGAAGGAAATACAGCCTTCTAACTGCTGACTGGCTGGTTGAAGGAAATACAGCCTTCTAACTGCTGACTGGCTGGTTGAAGGAAATACAGCCTTCTAACTGCTGACTGGCTGGTTGAAGGAAATACAGCCTTCTAACTGCTGACTGGCTGGTTGAAGGAAATACAGCCTTCTAACTGCTGACTGGCTGGTTGAAGGAAATACAGCCTTCTAACTGCTGACTGGCTGGTTGAAGGAAATACAGCCTTCCTTAGAAGACAGGACACAAGTAGACACGAAATAGGGCCCTCCTCAGCAGATAGGACACAAGAAGACAATAAATAGGGCCTTCCTCAGTAGACAGGACACAAGAAGACAATAAATAGAGCCCTCCTCAGCAGACAGGACACAAGAAGACACTTCAAGAAATAGAGCCTTCCTTAGCAGACAGGTCCCAAGAATACACCACACGAAATAGAGGCTTCCTCGGCAGATAGGAAACAAGAATACAATAAATACAGCCTTCCTCAGCATACAGGACACAAGAAGACAAGAAATACAGCCTTCTATAGCAGACAGGACACAAGAAAACAATAAATACAGCCTTCCTCAGCATACAGGACACAAGAAGACAAGAAATACAGCCTTCTATAGCAGACAGGACACAAGAAGACAATAAATAGAGCCCTCCTCAGCAGACAGGACACAAAAAGACACCACAAGAAATAGAGCCTTCCTTAGCAGACAGGACACAAGAAGACACCACAAGAAATAGAAAACAGTTCAATAACATAAGTGTTTTGAGTTGGCTATGAATGCTATGTCATTGCCGGAAATTGGGTTATAGAAAACAAAATAATGAGCTTGGGAAACTTCTGAATTTAAGGGGAAAAAAAGAATACAAACTGAATTTAATTTCAATAGACGAGCTTACAGTAAACCGGACACTAATGACAGCCGGATTCTTGCTCCTTAAGGGACCTGGGGTCTGACCACTGTCGTACGCATAGGCATCTAGGGTCACCACACTTCCGGCAGGTAGGGGGCTGACAACAATGACCTCCCCTGCAGACCCGACAATAATGCTTCCTCCGGATCCTCTGTTAAGTAAAAAAAACAGTTATTTGTAGACACTCTGTTGAGTGAGAATTATAGTTATTTGTAGACACTCTGTTGAGTGAGAATTACAGTTATTTGTAGACACTCTGTTGAGTGAGAATTACAGTTATTTGTAGACACTCTGTTGAGTGAGAATTACAGTTATTTGTAGACACTCTGTTGAGTGAGAATTACAGTTATTTGTAGACACTCTGTAGAGTGAGAATTACAGTTATTTGTAGACACTCTGTTGAGTGAGAATTACAGTTATATGTAGTCACTCTGTTGAGTGAGAATTACAGTTATATGTAGTCACTCTGTTGAGTGAGAATTACAGTTATTTGTAGACACTCTGTTGAGTGAGAATTACAGTTATTTGTAGACACTCTGTTGAGTGAGAATGACAGTTATATGTAGTCACTCTGTTGAGTAAAAAAGACAGTTATATGTAGAGACTCTGTTGAGTGAGAATTACAGTTATTTGTAGACACTCTGTTGAGTGAGAATTACAGTTATTTGTAGACACCTGTTACAAGATAAAAGTGTTGTGATACAAGAAACTGTTAAGTACACCAAAGATTAACAAGATTAAGTAGATGCCAGTGTTGACTTATTAGCATCCAGGCTTGATTTATAGAATACCATTTGTTCATGAGTTTTTAACTAATATGTGTCCCGTGTGTCCCTATGTGTCCCTATTTGTCCTTATGTTTTCTCCATGTATTTTGATGGATGATCATGGTAGCTAATTTAAAATGTAAAGGGTTAAATAGTATGTCTTGTTATTGAAAGATCAAGGTCATACTTATACACTTACTCATAATTGATGACGTTGTTCTGCTCACGTGCCGAATCTTTGTCTGTCGCTGTGATGGAACCCAGCTTGGTACCTGAAAGTATTCATCACGTGATCACCTCAAACTCAAGTAAAACTTTGTCCGTTATTGAAATTACGCGAAACAAATGTTTATAATTTATGTCGTGATCTTATAATGTATGCCGTGATCTTTCAAATTATGATGTAATCTTCTAATTTTTTTACCCTAGTTTTTAATTCATTATGTGATCTTCTAATTTATGACCTGATCTTCTAATTTATGACGTGATCTTCTAATTTATGACGTGAACTTCTAATTTATGACGTGAACTTCTAATTTATGACGTGAACTTCTAATTTATGACGTGAACTTCTAATTTATGACGTGAACTTCTAATTTATGACGTGAACTTCTAATTTATGACATGAACTTCTAATTTATGACGTGAACTTCTAATTTATGACGTGAACTTCTAATTTATGACATGAACTTCTAATTTATGACGTTAGCTCCTAGTTTTAGTTTTTAGGTTCTATTTTATGACGTGATCTTCTAATTTTAAAGGTGAAATTTCATTTATAATGTGATCTTTTTATGGCGTGATCTTTTAATTTAAGACTTCATCTTCTAATTTGTTTTATTTCAGTTTATAATTTATAACGTGAGCCTCGAATTTATGACGTGAGCTTGTCATTTATGACGTGAGCTTGTCATTTATGACGTGAGCTTGTCATTTATGACGTGAGCTTGTCATTTATGACGTGAGCTTGTCATTTATGACGTGAGCTTGTCATTTATGACGTGAGCTTGTCATTTATGTTTGTCATTTATGAATAACACAAATTAACAAGGATCCCATTGTCTTTATAAAAAAAAATCTTTTTTGAATAATCTCTAACAACTTTGTTCAAAGCTAATTTTTGTGTGGAAAATTCAAGTAAACAATTTGATAATAAAATGTGTCACAAGTAAAATTAAATTTTAGTGTGTAAGTGATACCCATCACATGGATCTTAGGGTCAAAGTTCTACATAACATATGGATCTTAGTGTCAAATGTCTAAATAAGACATGGATCTTAGGGTCAAAGTTCTACATAACATATGGATCTTAGGGTCAAAGTTCTACATAACATATGGATCTTAGTGTCAAATGTCTAAATAAGACATGGATCTTAGGGTCAAAGTTCTACATAACATATGGATCTTAGGGTCAAAGTTCTACATAACATATGGATCTTAGGGTCAAAGTTCTACATAATAGATGGATCTTAGGGTCAAAGTTCTACATAACATTTGGATCTTAGGGTCAAAGCTGTACATATTATTTGTATCTTAGTGAAGTTCTCCTTACCAGCTGGTGTACACTCAGTGGCGGCGTATGTGTAGGTTTGCTGCTGGTCAAAGACAGGGGCGTTGTCATTGCAGTCCAGAAAGTTGACCGTGACGGACGCTGTTGCTGTCAGTCCACCTTTATCTTGTACCTGAGCTCAGGGGTGTACAACACGTAGTGATGAGCTCCACTAACAAGTTTGAGTTAGACTCCACTAACAAGTTTGAGTTAGACTCCACTAACAGGTATCAATTTAACTCCACTAACAAGTTTGCGTTAGACTCCACAAATAAGTATATGTTTAAATCCACTAAAAGTATATGTTTAACGCCACTAAAAAGTATATGTTTAACTCCACTAACAAGTATATGTTTAACTCCACTAACAAATATGAGTTTAGCTCCACCAACAAGTATGAGTTGAGCTCCACCAACGAGTATGAGTTTAACTCCACTAACAAGTATGAGTTTAACTCCACTAACAAGTATGAGTTTAATTCCACTAACAAATATGAGTTTAACTCCACTAACAAGTATGAGTTTAACTCCACTAACAAGTATGAGTTTAACTCCACTAACAAGTATGAGTTTAATGCCACAAACAAGTATGAGTTTAACGTGGGAAAAGATGTTCTAATCATCACAAGAAGACCATTTGTGCCTTCAAAGTTTTCACTATTACCTGGACAGTAAATACCACAGTTGACGTCATTGAAGTCGGACTGTCTACGTCATAGTCCATGAGAGTCCGGAGCCAACCAGTATTTGGGTCAATATCGAATCTGCCAGGGGTGTTGGTCATTTTGGTGTTAATGGACCATTTCAGTGAGTCCGGGTTGTCTGGATCAGTGGCGATGTAGCCGGGATTAAACTCTCTCTGGAGATAGCCATATAGAAGTGAATGTTACAGAACAGTTACAGAACTGAGTGTTACAGAACCCATAAAGAATTGATCATTACAGAAACCGTACAGAATTGATTATTACAGAACCCATACTGAAGTGATTGTTACATGTCAATATAGAACTGATTGTTACAGAACCCATACAGAATTGGTGGTTACCGAACTCATACAGAATTGATTATTACATAAAAATATAAAATTGATCGTTACGTAACAGTTACAGTAAAAAACGACAGAAAGGAGAGAAAACTTTTCCCGAAAATATATCGACCAACAAAGAATGAAGATGAATGGAGAATACGAACCAACCAGATATATCAGGATCCCACACTAGGAGCAGAAATAAAAAAAGGCAGACTATGCTTGGCGGGACACTAAGAAAGAATGTCAAATGACAGAAGAGTGAAGATGGTGCACTACCAAAACCCCAGAGGAAAACGGCTCATAGGCAGACCTAGGCTTTGATGGCTCGATGATGTGGGAACCGATCTACAGCAGCTGGGAATCCAAGCATACAAAAGAAAAGCATCAGTTAGTTCTGTGTGGAAGAAAATAGTGAGGCAGGCCAAAGTCCTACATGGGCTGTAGCGCCACAGGGATGGATGGATAAACAATATAAAACTGATTTTTACAGAACCAATATAGAGTTGATTTCTATAAAACCAATAGAGAACTGATTATTAAATATTAAAGAAAGAAATATTTCAAAATAGTATCTATATGAGACACTAAAAATTTATAATATTGATAACTGAGAGCAATATAGATTTGAGAGTACGGACAAAATTAATACTGATTAATAAAAACAAAGGATCGTAAGATATAGAGTAAATTACGTTCACTTAAAAATGACTGATATAATTCTGAGTAAGGTAGTGTGACAGCTGGTGTTAATGTGACATCATGTGTTATTGTGAAAGCACGTATTAATGTGACAACACGTGTTAATGTGACAGCATCTGTTAAGGCAACAGCTGGTGTTAATGTGACAGCACATGTTAATATGACAGTTATATATATACTCGTTACTTTGACAAAAATCACATAAGTTATGGAATGTTCAGAGCTGCCATCAGCACAAAACTTTCTCTAGTATTCCACTTAGAATGTGCCGTAGCAATAAAGTAACATTATAGATTCGAATATGCAATTTATTTGGGTTTGGGAATAAATAGGTGATATTAAGATAAATAGGTGATATTAAGCGGAAATGCTGTTAAGTGGGATTAATAAGTGTGAGTGATATTAAATGGAGATGTTATAAAGTGAGACTTTTATTTAGTGGGAATGATATTAAATGTGGATGTTATTAAGTGGGAATAACATTAAGAGGGAATGCTATTAAATTTGGATCTTATTAAGAGGGGATACAATTAAGTTGCAATGATATTTATTAAATGGGACTGATATTAAGTTGGATGATATTAAGTGGGAGTGTTATTAAGTTGGAATGTTATTAAGTTGGAATGTTATTAAGTTGGAATGTTATTGAGTTGGAATGATATTAAGTTGGAATGTTATTGATTGGGAATGATATTAAAGTGGGAATGCTGTGAAGTTATCGATGTTACTGTTATATTGAAATAAAGGATACATCTACTACTGTCCCATATGTCACTGTGCCAGTGATGTGGAAATAATGTCAATTACAAGCATGTAATTTCATTAGGAATTACCTGCCCTTCACACACTTGTATGGTTGATGTTGCAGGTGTAATGGATGGCTTCTCATTGACATCCGTCACCTAATGGAATAAATTGTCAAATTATGATCTTTATTGGTTTCTTATGAGAAGAGAATTCGACAGAATCAGAGTTCAAGTAAAACGGTAATATAAAGGATGACATTAAATGGCCCCTAAAAAATATTATTTTAGTATACATCCTTTCTAAATGTAATATCGTCCAATGGGGGTGAGGCTATAAATTGGACAAAAATGCATGCAAGTAACAAATTTTATAAAAATCCCCATAAATGTCATTCCCCCCCACCCTTTTCCACCGTTCGCAACCACACATTTGTTGCACGCCCCTGAACGATATCAATATTGTCATGACGAAACCGCTTCAACACCGCAGATTTTTCTCACCAACTCTTTCAGAAAAACAAAATAAAATTGTACACACCAAACGCGTTTGCGATAATTGTTTAAAAGCCTCTCATTGAGCGCAGTTTTGGGGAATTTTATGTCATGCAATCCGTGGCATCATTTTCCCTTCATCTTCCTCTTGAAAAACAGAATACAACTCATTTTTGGTGATTTGGGTTGTGGGGGGGGGGGCACTGGAAATTGAAAAAAAAATGTGTGGTTATCGGCAACGAGTCTGTGTGCCAAATTTCAGCTTGATAGGTAGACGGCAAGTTGGTCAAATAAGCCGTCACAATCCGTGGCATCATTTTCCCTTCATCTTCCTCTTGAAAAACAGAATACAACTCATTTTTGGTGATTTGGGTTGTGGGGGGGGGGGGGCACGGGAAATTGAAAAAAAAATGTGTGGTTATCGGCAACGAGTCTGTGTGCCAAATTTCAGCTTGATAGGTAGACGGCAAGTTGGTCAAATAAGCCGTCCGAAGATGTTCGCCCCAGACCCAGCCAGAAAGGAACACACGAACAAGAGCGAAAATAAAATACGGCTGCGGCTATTCAGACCCGGGTCCAAGAAGTGAGAGTTTGTGTTTATTAAAAAATATTTTAAAATTATTGTTGGGTTTGTAGGACAAAATTAGGTATCAAATGAAGGACAATTGAATGGACTATACTTTTCTCAACGTACTTTTTCAGTTTAACTAATATGACCTATAAGAAATGACATCCCAATAACATTTAGTCAAAAATGGACCCGGGCACGCAGCGACGCTATTCAGACCCGGGCCCCTTTAGACACTTCTTCTTCTATTTTATTTCTTCTTCTATATTTTGAGGGCCACGATCAATAGATTGATCATTCTGGCTCCAATTTTTCAGAGGGGTTCGCGATGTTACTGTGCATGGTTTTCAAGGGGACACTTCACTGGTATCACTCAATGCTATTCGGATGTCATTTTTTCTTCCAACGTAAAAATAATGGGTTTTTTTTTTTAATCCCAATCTTTCACTTCTCGGACCCGGGTCCGAATAGCACCTTCGATAAAATAAAGAATTTGAAAATTTTGTACAATTTGGTGGTGAAGAATTTGGCTCAGTTAAAATTTATTCTATTTATTCAGCCCCAAATGTCCCAAAGCCGTCTGGTTTGTTTATGGTGTGGCTGGATGTGGGGATATGTGATAGGAGATTTGGGGAAGCTATGCGGAATTTCCCGATTTTCAAATATTTGTTTTTCTTGATTTATTTATTGTCTAATCAATTAGTTAAACTCAAGCCAATGAAACAATTCAAGGATTGGTTTAGTTTACAGAGTTTACGAGGAGATATTACAATCTCATAACACATGGGTCGGCAAACTACGAACACTGGCAACATCAACTTGTTCGACCTGCAGATTCAGTAGTCATTTTTTAGGCTAGGAAAGAATTGTCGTCTTTGAATATTAATATCTATTATACATAGAATAACAACATGATTTTTTTTAAAGAGTAAGGGCAAGAATAAAAACGAGAAAAGCATTTTGAAGCAGTTCAAAAATAATTTGCTCAATACATTTTGTATTTTACAAGACTGAAGTGCGTACCGTAACCTTAACCCTAACCCTAATCTTTTGTTAAAAATATGGGGTGAGGGGAATCATTTCTTCTGGTCATTACAAGACTGTTAGATGGTTAGGGTAGTTCTGTCACAAATATAATCGGAATATCGTGACGTATCGACCACACTTCAGTCAGGTAAGCTTGTGACAGGTAAGATTGTGACAGGTAAGGTTGTGACAGTTAAGGTGGTGATAAGTTTTCTTTTCGAGTTTTTAATAAGAGGGTTGATATTTTCTTGAATGTAAATTTGCTGCCTCATTTATAACTTAGCGATTGGCTTGGAGATTCACTTGCTCATCAACTTTGACCAGCGAAGGAGGCGAATCTCAGTTTGCAGTGTGACACAAATCTTGTCTCCGACATGACACCAATACGACACAAATCTTTTCTCCGACATGACACTAATTCACACAAATCATGTTTCCAACATGATATTAATACGACCTAAATCACGTCTCCGCCATGATAGCAATGCGTAGACACTTGAGCAAAAACTCATTCTTTTCACGTACCACTTGATGACGGGTTACTTCACTCAATCTGCATATGAAACCAAGTGTCTTTTTCCACGTGAGTTCATGTGAGATATGAGTTAGACTATATTTTGTGCAAAGTGCTTCCTGACTTGAGTCGGCATTTGGTGCAAAACGCTTCCTGACTAAAAAAACATTTGCTGCAAAGTTCTTCCTGACTATAGACAGCATTTGATGCAAAGTGCTTCCTGACTTGAGAAGGTGTTTGGTGCAAAGTGCTTTTCTCCAGCTGAATGTCTCAAAAACAAAGGAAATGGTTGTTAATTTCAGGAGGTGGGAATACCAGATTACAGATCTCAACATAAAAAATCAAAGTGTAAAGAAAGTGGAGACATACAAGTACTTAGGTGTCATCATTAATAATAAGCCAACATGGCATGAGCACGGCCAAATCATATATAAGAAATTCAACCAAAGACTGTTCTACCTCAACAAACTGTACAATTTTGGTGTAAACAAGCAAGTCGTTAACTTATTCCACAGTGCAACAATTGGAAGCCTGCTTCATTTCAGTATTACCTGCTGGTGTGGACATTCAACGTCTGATATTAAATACCGCATAAACCGACTAATCAAGAAAGCTAGGAACATAACACAAACTCAACATTCTTCACTTGAAGAACTATTTGAAGAAATATGCTTTTGCAAAACTTAACACATTTTGGATGATACATCCCACCCTCTTCATCACAGATACTTAGGCTCGGGCCGTTCAGGACGAATTCTTTCCATCAGGGCGCGGACTGACCGTTATAAAAATTCATTTGTTCCCCAATCTGTACGAATGTACCGGCGTGCTTCCTCTGAAGTCACACATCTAAATGAGAACTAATAAGTCCTTGATTGTGCCAAGAGAACTCACTGAATGGCCGTTTGAAATAATTTATTATAAATGTCTTGTGTTCAAATTTTTTTTATTTTTGTGCTGAAAATACATAATGCAATAAAAAAACATTTCCATTTATTTGGATCAGTAAAATAATCTTATCTTATCTTATCTTAAAGATATATCACTTAAATTTCAATGATTATAGTGGTCACCTTGGGCTTGGTACAATCCACATGGCACGGCCATATAGCGATAATTTAATATTGTGGCACAGCCATATAGGTACAATATAATATTGTGGCATGGCAATATAGTGACATTGTAATTATGGTTATAATATGATGGCATGGCCATAGAGTGAAATTGTGATATGGTGGGATGGCCATATAGTGACATTGCAATATGTAGCATGGCCAAATAGTGACAATGTAATATCGTAGCATGGTCATAATGTGATAATATCATAACAAAACAATATAATATCTTGACAATGTAATAAGGTGACAGTGTCAAAACAAGACAAAACGATTTCGTAACAAGACAATATCATGTTATGGTCATACTGTCACAAGAAAATATCATGCGATGGTCATACTGTCATCAGATAATATCATGTGAAACAGGCGTCTCTTATACAGGATACCCGACCAGGCATACAAAACCATCTTTTTCTTCAAATAGCCTCAGGTAGCCAAGCAAGTTTACAACACCATCTATTTCTTCAAATAGCCTCAGGTAGCCAAGCAAGTTTACAACACCATCTATTCCTGACAAGGCATGCACACCATCCATTTCTTCAAATAGCCTCGAGTAGCCAAGCATACAACCCATCTACTTCTTCAAATAGCCTCGAGTAGCCAAGCATACAACCCATCTACTTCTTCAAAAAGCCTTGAGTAGCCAAGCATACAGCCAATCTACTGCTTCAAATAGACGCAGGTAGCCGACTAATGATGTAGCACCAGGCCATTTTGACGAAATGTAAAACTGACCTTTATTCGTAGTGTATACGGTGGCGATGTGCAGTAGCCGTCTGTGGCCTGAATGATGAGGTCAGTCTGTTGTAGACTGGTCACTTCGTAGTCAAGCACCTTGGCTACGTCAATGTTAGGGCTTTTACCTGTTGGAATGAATTATAATCAATATCAGAAATTCTTATCTATTAAAACATCATCATTAACAGGGATTTAGACTGTTATACTGAAATATAAACAACACTATAAAGTTTACTTGTATTAAAATTATTTAATATGTGATTTTTTATGGAGCAGTATGTGTCACTATGTATGTGACGATGTATGTGACTCTTTATGTTACTATGTATGTGACCATGTATGTGACTCTATATGTTACTATGTATGTGACCATGTATGTGACTCTTTATGTTAATGTGTATGTGACCATGTATGTGACTCTTTATGTTACTATGTATGTGACCATGTATGTGACTCTTTATGTTACTATGTATGTGACCATGTATGTGACTCTTTATGTTACTATGTATGTGACCATGTATGTGACTCTTTATGTTACTAGGTATGTTGTTGTTCATCAGTCGGGAGTCGACCATGACCTCTTTAATCATCAGAGTTTGTGTTGGTTCTGTCTGTGGGTGCGCAGATGGCTCATGAGAACGATTCTGGCACGAAATTCTCTTGTGCAGTAGGTGCAAGGGAATGATGGGGCATCTCCGGGAGGAGTCAGACCGGGCCTTCCTGGCATGTCTCTTGCGCTCTGCAGCCACTGTTCTGCCAACTTCATGTTATATGAAGATCCTGTGTAAAGTAGAACGCTATGAAGTTCGATCCTTTGCTTGTTCCTCCCACGTGACTGGGTTTATGTTGAACGCTTTCAGTCAGGCGTTTAGGTTGTCTTTAAAGCGTTTTTTTTCTGTCCACCAGCAGACCGCTCTCTTTGTTCAAGCTCACCATAGAAAATATGTATGTGACTATGTATGTGACTCCGTATGTGACCATGTATTTGACCAAGTATGTGACTGTAGATGTGACTGCATATGTGACTTACTATCAATTTTGAACTGACTCATTCTAGCCGGGTTGGTTGATGTCACTGTATATGTGACTTACCATCAATTTTGAATTGACTCATTCCTGCCGGGTTGTTTGATGTGACTGTATATGTGACTTACCATCAATTTTGAACTGACTCATTCCTGCCGGGTTGGTTGATGTCACTGTATATGTGACCGTATCCCCAGGATTGCCATCCTGAAACAGCATTTTGTAGGCTGTTGACGCTGGCGTATCCTCTGGTATCTGTATGGTGGCATCGAGGTTGGCAGCGATGGGCGCCACATTTGCATCTGGGGGGTAGAAATAAACATGAATTATTTGCCACAATTTTTGAAATGTCACAAACAGAATGTGATAAGCAATTACAACATTTATATCATGATACAGATGTTTCTGACTCACTTGTAAACGGCACGTCTATGACCTTTGGTCCAACAACGTTGTGTCCATCCGTCATAGTCACTTGGAGTGTGACGCCATTCCGACATTCTTTCTTGAGGTCAATGTTTGATCTGATCTCACCAGTATCTGTTGATGACCCGGTAGGAATATGGGAAGGGGGGAGGGGGGTTAAATAAAGAGATTTAACTAATTCAAAGTCAAGTTCAGTTTCATCATTGGAAAAAATATCAGAACAAGTTGTATTTATTTCTATTGAATTATGATGACTATAATATTTTATAAAACTCACCAACTCACCTTCACACAACCTAATTGATCCTTATTCACCCTAACTCACCCATACTCACCTCAACTCACTCTAAATCACTTTATTTCACTCTAACGTATTCTCCCTCAGCTTCCCTCTGTTCTTCAACCATTCCCACTACCTCATCATCTTAATAACTATCTCTCATCAACTCTCTCACTAGTATCTTGTCTCACATAGTCTCAATGGTAATCTGTCTCAAATAGATTAACCCTGTATTACCTCGTCTAAACTAGTATTACCCTGTCTCACCTAGTATACTAGTATTACACTGCCTCACCCAGTCTCACTTAGTAATACCCTTTCTCACCTAGTATTATCCTACCTCAAATAATTTCACCCTATCACTCCTATTCTCACCAAGTATTACCCTGTCTCACCTCGTATCTCACCTATTCTCACCTATTATTATCCTGTCACACCTAATATTACCCTGTCTCAGCTAGTATTACCCCCACCTCACCTAGTCTCACCAAGCAATACCATGTCTCACCTAGTATCATCTTATCATCTAGTATTGCACTTTCTCACCTATAACTTGTCCTATCTCACCTAATTTTACCCTGTCTCACCTTGGTTCACCTGATATCACCTTTATGTATATATATATCGTAAGACTTACATTGATTGATTTGATAATTTCCCGATGACGTAGTAGGAATAACTTTTAAACTGTATGTGATGTCATCAGATTCTGGATCATCAGCATCCACTATGTAAATTATGTCCCCTGCCTTGACACTGCCGGCATCCACTGGTGCACTCACTGGAATGACAACATTTGGTCAAATCAAATCCAATTGAATGAAATATGACACAACTGACGTTTGAGCTCGATCATTAGAGTCCACACTTTAGAGAGGGTGGGGGGGGGGGGCGAGAGGGGTGTAGCGCCCCGGCGTCAATTCTGTTCTAAATATTGACGGTGTTGTTTGCAGCCAACTGCAGTTTTTTCATTGGTGGTAAAACTAAAATATCATGAAACAAAAAGTCACACAAAAAGTGATTAGGAAATCTACAAAATATTTTAACCAGTCTTAGGAAATCTACCAAATATTTTAACCTGTCTTAGGAAACCTACCAAACATTTTAACCAGTCTTAGGAAATCTACCAAACATTTTAACCAGTCTTAGGAAACCTACCAAACATTTTAACCAGTCCTAGGAAACCTACCAAACATTTTATCCAGTCTTAGGAAACCTACCAAACATTTTAACCAGTCTTAGGAAACCTACCAAACATTTTAACCACTTTTAGGAAACCTACCAAACATTTTAACCAGTCTTATGAAACCTACCAAATATTTTAACCAGTCTTATGAAACCTACCAAACAGGGTGTCGGGATCAAAGATTGGCGGGGCGTTGGGGACAACCTTGACCTCAATGATCTCAGTAGCAGGGGGCTCATTCTGGAGGTAATTCTCACAGCTAACCGTAATGAGATAAGATGGCACCACGGTAAAATCAAGGGTTCCCACACCAGCTCTGTACTGGAGGCACTCCTCTGAACAAATATAAAATGTAGATAATTGCGCCCCATCAGGTCAACGTGTGCGCATAATGACGTAGAATTTATCAAAATATATAAGGAATACGTAAATGTGATTTATTGTTGTATATAAATATATGTGATTGTTGGTGGCATAAAAGAATATGTGATTCTTGGTGGTATATAAATATATCTGATTTCTTGTTTTATATAAATATATGTGATTTTTTTTGTATATATATATGGGATTGTTGTATATATATATATGTGATTGTTGATGGTATATATATATATATATATATATGTGTGATTGTTAAAATATAAAGAAGAATGATATTCGAAATGTAGTGCATGCACCATGGTCATTAAAAGTATACACTATTTATTGGTCAATGTATTCACTAATAATTGGTCAATGTATTCATTATTTATTGTTCAATGTATTCACTAATCATTGGTCAATGTATTCACTATTCACTTTCCAATGATTTCCCTATTCAATGGTCAATGTATTCACTATTCATTGGTGAATGTATTCACTAATCATTGGTCGATGTATTCACTATTTATTGGTCAATGTATTCTCTATTCATTGGTCAAGATTGAAACTCACCAGGCGGGCAGTCGAGGACTTCAAAACATTTGGAACACAAAGTATTTGGACTCATTGACTTGACCACTGTAGTTGTCTTGTCTCCATCCGTGTCACTGCAGACGATCGTAGACAACTTCTCATTGACTGCAGTGCCTTCTCTTACTATAGCCACTTTCTCAAATGACGTGATATTAGGCTGAGAAATCACGTTCATAGAGTACAAGGTCACGTTAGTGGAGAGCACAGAATGTTCATAATTAAGGTCAAGGTAGCAGAGTGTACAATATTTCTCTACATCAGGTCAAGTCGGGAGAGGGTACAGTATGTCAAAATGACAGGTCAAGTCAGGAGAGTCTACAGTATGTCAAAATGACAGGTCAAGTCAGGAGAGGGTACAGCATATCCAAGTGACAGGTCAAGTCGGGAAGGGTACAGCATATCCAAGTGACAGGTCAAGTCGGGAAGGGTACAGCATATCCAAGTGACAGGTCAAGTCGGGAAGGGTACAGCATATCCAAGTGACAGTTCAAGTCAGGAAGGGTACAGCATATCCAAGTGACAGGTCAAGCCAGGAGAGAGTACAGCGTGTCCAAGTGACACGTCAAGTCAGAATAGTGTACAGTAGGTCAAAGTGACAGATCAAGTCAGGAGAGGGTACAGCATGTCAAAGTGACAGGTCAAGTCAGGAGAGGATACAGTATGTCTGTGTCAACTCAATCCAAGACAGGGTCTGTTACGTCTCTGGCATTTTAAGGAATGTGCATTACGTCTTAACATGGGGTTTCGTAATTAAGTGTAGATGTGTACAAATATTGTGTAGATGTGTAGATGTATAGAAATGATGTAGATGTGTTTAAATAATGTGTAGTTGTATAGAAATAATGTGTAGACGTGTAGAAATAATATGTACACGTGTAGTTTGTGTAAGTAATGTGTAAATATGTAGAATTGTCGAGATGTGTAGAAATAATGTGAAGATCTGTATATAATGTGTTGATGTGTAGAGATAATGTGAAGATCTATAGGCATAATGTGTTGATGTGTAGAAATAATGTGAAGATCTGTAGGCATAATGTGTTGATGTGTAGAGATAATGTGTGATGTGTAGAAAAAGTCTGTAAATTTATTCCATACGCATTCATGTATGAATACAGAATAAAAATAAAAATACTTGAGGTCGGGGGGTGGGGGGTTAGGGTGAAACTACATACAATTCATTTGATGAGTACCGAGTTGCAATAAATATACAGTCCACTTTCAAGTTGCACTCTTCTAACGTAGAATCATAAATTTTTGATTCAACTGAAATATTCCCGAGACTCCTGTAAAAACAGATGGAAGACATTGACATACGGAAAAGAAGAAAGCGAGAGTGATTTGCTTACCGCCCCGTAGGCGAGTCCCAGGAGTACTATCGTTATAAGAGTGATGTACCCTGGATCAGTCGTCATAGCGTCTCTGTGGTGACGTCACGCCAATGCACTAGTTAGTTGGTATCTTCGCTGTTCATAAAGAAGACATAAATAGAATTAATATTATTCTAAGCTTAACAATCAGACAATGTTTCTTTGTTTTTCTCATTTCAGAGTATGTCTTTTGATCTGTTTTACCAACGTAAATGAATTGCTCAATAATTAACAGTTATCACCAAGTATATTATCCAACAAATTTGCTACTGACATCATTTTCTTTCAATGGCAAGATTCCCTGTCCCGTTAATTAGCTGTTGTTTATTTTAAAACTAACTTTGAACTTGGACAAAATCAAATCTAGGAATTCAACTATGCATTTAATATTTTAAAAGAACATGCAATGTTGTGTTTACATTTTCTTTTTTTTTTTTTTAAATTGTTAAAACAATGTTAAAACATTATTGCGAAATATTCATAACACTACAATAAAATTCGATTGTCTATTAAAATAAATATATTTCCAGAAATGGTTTGGCAGATTTGTACGCTGTTCATTTAGAGATAAAATAAATACAAACAATCGCTGGTCAGTCTTGTTCAATTAACAATTATATAATTATGTTATGTCCAGGTCCAAGAAGCACTTCATGTTGACACACTCGTAGTTTCAGTGTGAAACCAGTCAGACAGGAAATAATCCTATTCCAGAATGTAGTGACGCTGTTCACGTGTAAACAAAATTATGTTCAAGTTTATGGACCTTGCGGCGTCACAAGAGGCAATACAAGTTTGCACAACGGTTCTCAATTTGTGAATTTCAGTAGAACTAACAAAAGACTTTGAAACCCAGTTTGTGACATGTCTCTGACATATGACGTCTTGAAAGCTTGATATCAAAGGGGAAAATTGAATGATTTAAACCTGAAGTCTTTAGTGACAGCTCCGTTTATATTTAGTAACAGTTCCATTTATCTTTAGTGACAGTTCCATTTATCTTCTAAAATTTCTTGTCATAAATGAAGTTTAAGATATAAGTTTGTGTTTGACACTAGCATGATAATGTGCTGGCTAGATTAGGTGATGCCCTCCAAATCTAGATTATGTGACGCCCCTTCAAAGCTAATTTAAGTTGACAAATACGAAATAAACTGGACTGTATTTCTCTCCACTTTTAAATGCTCTATTAATCAGTTATTCTTTTTTTTTTAAATCAGTGCGATCTTTCGGACACCTTCTTAAAATCACAAGAACCACTCTAATACAAACCTTTAATACATTGTATTGAGGAAATACTTTCCTAAACAAAACAGTATCTCTGCTGTGTGGTGCGTCAGTTCAGCCGAATCCTTAACACACTACCACATTTTTAAAAGACGTAATTGATCTGATTGTGACATTAGCACAAAACTTTCAACACTGCCCGGATCCTACTGAAAGGTTGACACCGCCACGGCTCATTGGACTTGTTGAACTTGTAGACTGCTTCTAAAGCTTTGACTGACACTGTCACAGCGTACTGTCAGGCTGTCTGTCAAAATTGAATAGTTGTGTTCGAAGCTTCAGTGGACGCTTGTTTTTCACCCCCTAACTTTGAAATCTTTTTATTCAGCAACAGTTGTCTAGTCGTAGTGCTGCCACCATTAGGGTCACGTGCACTCTGGAGTCACGTGCACTCAAGTGTGTGCTCCTATAGTATAACAGCAAACATACACGTGATGACAAAACACAGATATAACAGCCATTTTATAAGTGTTTGTACGATATAATAGCCATTATTTCTATCTTTTCTATCTTTGCATTGGCTGCCGGTCCGCGGTCGCATAGAGTACAGAATTGCAACTCTGTGCTACCGCTGCTTCAAAGCACTCATGACGCCTGATGTACCCACTAGACAACTCCGCTCATCCGATGGTTGCATGACCTGGCGCCGTCCTATCTCAAAGCACTCATGACGCCTGATGTACCCACTAGACAACTCCGCTCATCCGATGGTTGCATGACTTGGCGCCGTCCTATCTCAAAGCACTCATGACGCCTGATGTACCAACTAGACAACTCCACTCATCCGATGGTTGCATGACTTGGCGCCGTCCTATCTCAAAGCACTCATGACGCCTTGTGTACCCACTACACCACTCCGCTCATCCGATGGTTGCAAAGTCTCGTTACGCATTTACTCGATGCGCACGTTCGCATTTGCTGGCCAAACAATTTAGAACACACTTCCTGACGCTCTCAGAAACAGCCAGACACCGGAGTCTTTCAAAATCGATTTGAAGACAAATCTAATTCGCAAACACCTGCCGGGGTGATGTTGTCTACCATCTTTCCAGCTAGCTATTATCTCCTCGATATAAAGTGGCCTGTGTTGTTTATGGTTGCAAGGGAGGAAAGACTTAGAATGGGTATAAGTCTCGTATGTAGTTTTTGTAATGTTGCGTTTTGTATTTATTCAATGTGGTAAATATAGATTTTTTCATTTGTCTTTTAATATGGTTGACTTTGTATCGCGCTTCGAGCCTTTGGGGATGAAGCGTGATTTTCGAGTAAGCTTTATTTTTATCTTGTTTTCTATCTTGTTTTCTACAATTTTTTCTATATTTTTTTTCTTTCTATCCAGTATTCTGCCTTGTTTTCTTATTTCTTTCTGCATTGTTTCGTTCTGTCTTGTTTTTTACCTTGTATTCAATCGTGTTTTCTTTCCTTTTTTTCTACCTTGTGCTCTATCGTATTTTCTTTCTTGCTCTCTATCCTGTTTTCTATTTTATTTTCTTTCTCTTTTTCTATATTGTCCGACCATTGTTTACTAATTTTCTCTCTTCCCTTTGTCGCAGCTTTTCTAACCTCTTTGTTGCCGATGGACTAGCCATTATTATGAAACACTCAACACGCCAATATTGTGTTCACACGTGTCTCTGCCTTATTATGGAGAATTGTAATATACACACCCCAACCCACCCAATGACCCAACCCACCCAATGACCCAACCCACCCTATGACCCAACCCACCCAATGACCCAACCCACCCAATGACCCAACTGAAACGAGTCTTTAAAAATACAACATATATATATTTGTATAAATGAACCAAAGAGTTTTAACTTGAATCTCTGCGTAGTGTATAGCATTTATATCACAATAAACACATTTTTGAGAACTATTACATATATGTCTTTCAGATCGTTTTCTTTGACCGATTCAACGTTTATTTTATTCCACTTCCACTTTTTGTCAATGTTTAAGGACCTACTCTCTGTCTCCAAACTTTCCCAAATCAATTCATCGCTTAGTCGGGACAGACAACGAAAGAAATATTTAGACCAATTTAAGAAGACCATTAAGTCAGTCTACCATTGAGATGTTTACATAAGCTAAAACTTCTTTTCATAAAATACAAGTTTTAAAAGAGACTGTAAAAATAGATAGGATCAATAAGTTAGCTATGTAAGAACGAACAGCTTTAGAAGTGGGTCGGTTCCACACACGCAGCTGACGCTATCCAAACAACGTACGTCAGAACTCAACTTCTTATTTCAATCCATTTTATTAACTTCGATTTTGTTCGTGTGTTTCCTTCTAGGTTTGTGGCAAAATATTTTCGTCATCCTATCGAACTGAAACTTGGCACATAGACTAGTTGCCGATGACAATCTATCCTATCAATTTTCAGCCAACCAAAAACCGTCAATAATCTGTTTTTCCTGTTTTTCAAAGCTCAGAAGAAAGAAATATGACACCATCGATTTACTGAAATAAAATTCCCGATAACTGCGCTAAATGAGACTCTTAAGAAAATATCACACGTGCGTTTGGTGCGTGATATTGTCTTTTGTTTTTCTGAAATAGTTGGTGTAATAAATCTGCGGTGTTAAAGCGGGTGTGGCATTGAGGGGGAGCCCTAATAAGGGTTCGTATAAAGTGTCTTCTTTTATGCATGTTGCAAGATCAGGTGGTCACCAGACAGAGCAGGTTACCACAATACCAAATTATTACAATAAAAGGGTGTCAAACAGGGTGTCCTCAGACTGAGCAGGCTTCCACAAGACAGAGCAGGCTTCCACAAGACAGAGCAGGCTTCCACAAGACAGAGCAGGCTTCCACAAGACAGAGCAATCACATGAAGGTAGTAGTTTTTAATATAATTTCAATTTTTGAAGATCGTTAAGTTTAAGTTTAGACGGTAACGTTGTAACTTACAATAAATCCTGGGTGGGTGTTGTCCGCCTGGATTGCGCACCATGATGCACTCTCATTCACGGCTTCCTTTTTTCATACGCACCCTTTCCTCACAAAATGACATATTCTCCAAAAACTTCCTTCTCTATTTTAGCAGGTATTTCTAAAAGGTACTTAGTAAAGTATTGGGACTATACAGAGTCAATACAACTAAGTATTGGTGGATATATGGAGCGCCAACTGGATTTATTATTATAAACACATCTACCAGTGTGTTACGCGCGCCAATGGGCTGAGTTGGCCCAGCTAGTGTTTCAATAAAAAAGTCCTGTTGTATTTCTCAACGCTTTAAACTAAAATTACATGATTTCTTCCTGCATGTCTTTTGTTGCTTTAGGAATTTCACATGTTACAAAAAATAATCAAATCGAATCTGTAAGATCTGATAAGAATTATTCGGTTCAGGTACGGAATTTGGAAGGGAAGGGGGGGGGGGGAGGGGTGGACACTATGACTTAAACGCACCGGATGACACCAACTCCAGAATGAAATCTATTCTTGCTAACATGGTACCTGGTCACCATGGTAACTACACACACTAACATGGTGCCTGGTCGCCATGGTAACTACACCCACTGACATTGTACCTGGTCGCCATGGTAACTACACCCACTCACATGGTGCCTGGTCGCCATGGTAACTACACCCACTCACATGGTGCCTGGTCGCCATGGTAACGCTATTTCATTCCTTGTAATTATGACTATGCTATCCTTTTATTTTTACAATATGGATATATAGTTTGTTTAATGGGAATGTCATCTGTAATTTTATTTTAATGTTGAGGAGTTTATTTTTAAAATAGCATTTGATTTACCTGCCATTGTACCTGTGTCCAACCAATCACCTTTAACATTGTAGCTGTGTCCAACCAAACACTTTTGTCATTGTTCTTGTGTCCAACCAAACACTCTTGTCATTTTACCTGTGTCAAACTAAACACCTTTGTCATTGTAACTGTCATTGTAACTGTCATTGTAACTGTCATTGTAACTGTGTCCAAACAAACACCGTTGTCATTTTGCCTGTGTCCAACCAAACACTCTTGTCATTTTACCTGTGTCAAACCAAACACCTTTGTCATTGTAACTGTCATTGTAACTGTGTCCAAACAAACACCTTTGTCATTTTGCCTGTGTCCAACCAAACACTCTTGTCATTGCACCTGTGTCCAACCAAACACTCTTGTCATTGTACCTGTGTCCAACCAAACACCTTTGTCATTTTACCTGTGTCCAACCAAACACCTTTGTCATTTTACCTGTGTCCAACCAAACACCTTTGTCATTTTACCTGTGTCCAACCAAACACCTTTGTCATTTTACCTGTGTCCAACCAAACACCTTTGACATTTTACCTGTGTCCAACCAAACACTTTTGTCACTGTACCAGTGTCCAACCAAACACCTTTGTCATTTTACCTGTGTCCAACCAAACACTCTTGTCATGTTAACTGTGTCTAACCAAACACTCTTGTTAAACTATAAGCGTGGGTTGGGGGTGCTAAAGCAAATAGAAATACTCTATTTTTTTAACACTGGCTTATTTATTCATTGGAATGATTCCAAATATTTTAACTACGGAGAATTTCATTGGTCCATTCAATGTGACCGTGTCATTTATTTTAATTTAACAAATATTGAGCTAAAAACAAACACACACAGAAATTCACATATGTTGTATACACACATGCCTACTTAGATACACATATGAAGCAGTGAAAAATGATTTTATTTGATTGAATCCTTTTTTAGTTCACACTTGAAGAAATATCATGTTGTTAAATAAAGATTCAATATTCACAATTTTCAAATTGTTTTCTTGTTTAACAAAATGTGTTTTCATTTAAAGCTTTTGGTCAGTAATAAGTCAACCCCCCCCCCCCTCCAACCCCAAACAATTTTTCCATTTTTTGTCTCTTAGTGCTCTTTACAAGACTTTTAAATGTGGATTAAGATGGCTGCGTCCAACCACGATGGCTGCGTTCAACAGGACAACTGTTGTTGTGACCACTCTAGGTGGCCTCTTTAGACAGCTGAATGGTCCGTTAGGCACATCTCAACTGTCACCTTGTGTTGCCTCTTTAGACGGCCGAATGGTCTGTTAAGTACATCTCAACTGTCACCCTGTGTTGCCTCTTTAGACAGCCGAATGGTCTGTCAAGTACATCTCAACTGTCACTCTGTTGGCTGATAACTTTGCTGCATCAAACCCGGCGAGTTTAATACAAGATGGTGGAGGAGGTTCATTTGGGAAGGTAAGCATTCGCCCGAACGGGTTGCACCAGTCAAGGTTACGTTCACACAGATAGAACCACCAACCCGACCGTGTCATGCCCGGACAACTGTCTGGATGGTTGTCGGCATCATTGTCAGCATCAGGCGTAGAGAAGCCCCTACCATCAGGGCCTGCTGTCAGACAGTTCTTCAGCTCACTCACTGAGCTCAGCGGTCCGTTTTTTGTGGCAACCCAATTAGAATAACGGTAATTGTATTTGGATGTGGCGTTACCAACGGTAAAGTTTTGGTACAAGATTGCGAATGACGATTGGTCGGTAGTTGTTGATAATGTTACTCTTATTGTGAAATCGTGAAGTCCTTGATCGAAAGTAAGGTATCGTAAGTTCGATAACCCAATCCAGAAATCCTCTGCCCCACTTTGGTTGTCCCTGAATCCGATGACATATTCTGCCCAATTTCTGTCGAACCTAAGAGCTCCAGTATAATATGCTACATATAGAATAGGTTCCCCTTGTTGCTGAGAACAGTACGTGAAAAATGGAGTTGATGGAATGTCCCTCTTCGCTATATGGGTAGGAACTCTTTTCCCGGAATAGCCGTATTCGAATAATTCTCTACAACTCTCGGGACGTCTTTCACATCGATACCCAACAAATGATCGAATGCAACTACACGCCTGCTTGCTCATATCCCAGAATCCACCATTTTCACAGCTGTCACGGTCGCCATGTCTGATGTAATGACTCAAGCCTGAGTCGTCTGGGGGACATGAGGATGTCCTAACACCAGGACAATGCTCGCGAAGGAAACATCCCTTTGATTCTCTCTGAAAGCTGAATCCTTCACAGTCATGGCTTAGCAGACACGTGGAAGCACACAACAGCATCGAAGACTTGCCCGATAATTCAGACATGCATCCTTTTGTTTGCAGCTCATCAACATCACAAACATCTCCTGTTCTAAACAGAGAAGTAAGTACGTCAGAAGAAATTCCTGTCACTGACATGGACAGAATGAGAGTTAAAACACCAGACATAAACGTCAAACCTGATCTTGCCATTCTCTGAACCTGTTCGGTAGCAATGAGTATCTGACCTGTATTGTAGTAATGAGCATCTGAACCAGGCTCCATAAAATATTTCCCTAGCTTTGAACTAATTTATACAAACATCACATTTAAAAACCTTGGCTTTGTTTGCTTTTAACGTCTTGCAGTTGAGAAGTTATTTCCACAAAAACACTTAATGAATAAATATCCTTAAACAAAAATTAATTATTAAAAAAAAAACACGATAATTCTAAAGCTGTAGTCACAACAATGGTGCAGCAATTTGATCATTGTCACGTGACCACGGCCAGAAACTCAATGCCAAACGTGTGACTTTCCGATTGAGGTCAAGCTTTTCTTGACATTTATTTTGTCAATATGTAAGAAGTAACTTGATAGGTCAACATATTCCTACCACAGGCATTTAATGGTTGGGTGTGCAGTGTTTCTCAAACTGGAGATCTAGTTCATCATAGGTCAACATATTCCTACCACAGGCATTTAATGGTTGGGTGTGCAGTGTTTCTCAAACTGGAGATCTAGTTCATCATAGGTCAACATATTCCTACCACAGGCATTTAATGGTTGGGTGTGCAGTGTTTCTCAAACTGGAGATCTAGTTCATCATAGGTCAACATATTCCTATCAAAGGCATTTAATGTTTGGCTGTGCAGTGTTTCTCAAACTGGAGATCTAGTTCATCATAGGTCAACATATTCCTATCAAAGGCATTTAATGTTTGGCTGTGCAGTGTTTCTCAAACTGGAGATCTAGTTCATCATAGGTCAACATATTCCTATCAAAGGCATTTAATGTTTGGCTGTGCAGTGTTTCTCAAACTGGAGATCTAGTTCATCATAGGTCAACATATTCCTATCAAAGGCATTTAATGTTTGGCTGTGCAGTGTTTCTCAAGCTAGGGATCTAGTTCATGTATTGTCAAATACGTATTTTCACACTTATTCTTAAGACCTAAAATCCAAGCTTTAATATTCAGTAATAATGAAATTGAAAATGATTGAATTAGGCTCTGTGACAGGAAAGACACTACATTAGTTAATGTTAGGCCTTATAACAGAATAGACACTACTATGGTAGTTGGAATTAGTCCTTGTGGTGACACTTTATTTTTGGTCTTAAGCAAAGAAAGACATTATGTTGGAATTAGGCCTTGTGACAAGAATGACACAGATTTTTTTGTCATAAATCCTTGTGACAACATCACAACATTTTTTGGTTTCAGGGAAGACAGCCAAGATGTTTGTATTTGGCGTTGTAATATATTTGATCACATGACCAACGGAAGGCTAGCATTATAGTTACAGTCTATGGGTTAATATTTTTTATCACATGACCAAAAAAGGCTAAAGTTACACTCTATGACTTAATATATTCAAATAACGTTGGTAAACTATGTGATATCTACAAAAGGATTTTTAAAAAATTTTTTTTTTTTTTAGATATCTTTAAATACATTGAAAACCCAATACTGATTTGACCCCGAACATTTAGATGGCAAGCCAGTGATTGCTTGTTATGGCCATCTTATGTCTCAATTCTGTTAACTTCATCACGGTCCTTAAATAAACATTAATTTTCATACTCTAAAATTATCAAGTATTTTTAATACTCTAAAGTAGTCAAGTAATTTTAATACTCTAAAGTAGTCAAGTAATTTAATACAATAAATTAGTAAAGTATTTTTACTACTCTAATATAAAGTAATTTTAATATAAAAGTAGTCAAGTATTTTAGTACTCTAAAGTAGTCAAGTAATTTGAATATTCTAAAGTAGCCAAGTAATTTTAAAAGTCTAATTATTTAAGTTAAAACATATATTTAAAAAAACAAACAAAAAACAAAACATTTCATATTTCTTTATAAGAGCCAAAAGCCAGATATAAAAAGCCAGATATATTTAACACCTTTATTGCACCTCAAAGGAGCACAGCACAGGCCAACTCATCACAGCCTCATTTTAACATGTGTAAAGTGCAACACAATAACATCTATGTGCAGATAAAAATCCCAGTAACCCACTTATAACCATCATAAAATGTAGGGCAAATGAAAATTTCCCAAATGAAAATATACAGAGAACTAATGACTTGTGAACAAAAATGAATGTACTAATGAAGAAACAATTTATTATTTCATGTGAACGGAAAATGAATGTACAAAAATTGAAACAATTTATTATTTCAATGTTTTCAAAATGATAAAAATGTTTACAGTTCACTAAGCCAAGCAATACTTCTAAAAACATTAATAATTAATTAGAAACAATTAATTCCTATTTAATAAAGAAATTACTATTAATGAAATAATAAATATGAGCACTGGGTGAGGTCCATAACAATTATAATGGTCGTGGAGATTTGGGAGCAAACTGATTGCTGTGATTTATTGATTCATGTTTTTTAGGTTAATGCACCAAATCAAAGGTTCAGCAAATCAGAAAACTGCTCAATGTTTTGATAAAGCAAAATCATTGTTAAAATAAACTTCAGGCAATCATCTAATTCCAAATGGATTCTAAAGAGATATTAATTTTAATTTCATTGGATTTATCCCTTTTAAGATTTCTGAAAATGAATTGAAAACATAAGCAGATTAAAGTTAACAAGACATGCATGGATTGAACGTAACAAGACATGTGCAGATTGAAGCTAACAAGACATGTGCAAATGGAAAGGTAAAATGAATGTGCAGTAATGTGGAATAAAAAAATTGTAAAACTATAAATAAATAAATCACTATTGACTTGAAAAAAAATTATTCTTAAACATTACTGGAGAAAAGTGGGATGCATCAAGGCTTCGTTGTGTATTTAATGTAAAGACCTTAAAGTTGGTTTATTTAGGACCAATTAACATTCATTGTAATGACATTAATACTGGTTTAAGTCGGACCAACTAACGTTTAGTGTTATGACCTTAATACTGGTTTAGGTTGGACCAATTAACTTTCATTGTAATGACCTTAATACTGGTTAGGTCAGACCAACTAACTTTCAGTGTAATGACCTTGTAACTGGTTTAGGTCAGCCCAATTAACTTTCATTGTAATGACCTTAATACTGGTTTAGGTTGTACCAATTAACTTTCAGTGTAATGACCTTAATACTGGTTTAGGTCTGACCAACTAACTTTCAGTGTAATGACCAAGATACTGGTCTAGTTAAATTCAACATATCATGATGTATAATAAGGATGTCATTTAAAATAACTGAACTAAAATCTTTATAAAAATCTTAAATTTATATATTGGCCCCTTATATAAATGTAATGGCACCTTATATAACTATAATGACACCTTATGTTAATATAATGGCAAATTATATACATTTAATGGCACTTATAATATAATGACACTGTATGTAAATGTAATTTCACCTTGTAATATAGAAACAATTATAAATGTCATCTTTTTACAATTTTTTTTTACTGAAGTAAAAAGTAATAGTTATAAAGAACATTGCCCAAAATAAAACAAATCTCATCTGTACAAGCTAATGTAGCAGGAACAAAATATGTAATAAATGATGTGCTAATTTATCGGTTTTGTTGAAATTTATAAGTGGAATATAAATAAGGGTTACCCCAACTTTAAAAAAATATAAATACTTATTTTTGAAAAGGCTATTTATAGCATAATGGTCCTAATACATTTGGGAACACAGGAGGTAAGGAGTTAAAATATTAATATCAAAATATTTAGGAGCAATGTATAGGCTATTAAATGTAACTGGTAGATTTTTTACATGTTGTATAATCTTTTACAAGTCAAATGCAGATATCAAATATTAGCAAAAGTCATGGATAGATGGCATTTAATTAAAATTATGCCACAGGCATAAATTCTAAATGTATGAATACATTATATTGTATAACTTTTAGAGAAGACCTCTTGAGTTAAATTAATGCTGTGGGTTACTGGCGTCAGTTTTAATATCACAGATTTTGTCTTAGAGAACAAATTTAAAGAAAGGTTTACAAATGTCAATCTCATTATTTGATCTTTGAGCAAATACACATGTGTTAATATTTTTGTATACACAGCATTTAAAACATGGTTTGTCTACTAAAAAAAACGACATTGTAATGACCTATGTATCAGATTAGATATAGATGAATCTGATAGTTAGGGGGGACAAAATTTTTTTGTCTAGCAGTGAAGTAAGAATTGTTATTTCAAATACAAATATTTTTTAGCAAATTTATTTAATTGCAAATATGATTATTTAAATGTTCTCTTGAGTAAGGAATTTCCAAAGCTTGAATGCAGTCCTTCAATTATTATCTAAATTTTGAGAAGGTGATATGAAAGTGACATGAGGCACATTTGACATACATATTACCCACAATCCATGCTTGAAATAAGTATGACATAAAAGCTTACACTTCATTTCACAATAAATATATCAGCAACATGAGGCAATACATGGCTAAACATTTCAGAGTAAATACTTTGATCAGCAACATAAGGCAATATATGGCTAAACTTTGATCAGCAACATAAGGCAATATATGGCTAAACTTTGATCAGCAACATAAGGCAATATATGGCTAAACTTTGATCAGCAACATAAGGCAATATATGGCTAAATATTACAGAGCTTTATAATTAATACTTAGGTGCTCAACATGAGTCTTTAAAAGAATATTTTAAAATGATCCAAATAATAAGTGATAAGCCTTAAAAAATATTGAACCCAAAACTGATTTTATGAAACAATTAATATTTAACACAATACAAACAGAAGCCTTGAAAAAGTTTGACCCCCCAACATGATTTAATGAAACAAACAATATTTAAACACAATCTAAACAAAACATGAATAAATTAAACAGATCCTCATAAAATGCTCTTCCTTTGTCAAATAGAAATGATTTTGAAATCTAAAGTTGTTTTTGGTGCATAATAAATAAGAAGATTTTAAGATACAATTTTTAAACAGATTAAAGACTGTGGCCACCATCAATTGCTCACAAACTGAAACGAATATTTGATCATCATCTACGTTTCTTGAAGTATCAAATTAATGTCCTTAAGACTGTGGCAAATAAATAAGTCTAGTCTATAATTAAATGACTCTTTTTGTCCGAACTTTTCGTGGAATGGGCATCGCCAGTTCATCTAGTCTGGGTGTTGTCTGTGCCCTTAAGGCACTGGAGGGTATCCTGTAAGGGTCATAATCCTCTTTCTTCAGCACCCTTGGTGGTGGGCGAGACAACTGCTGTAGTCTAAGGGAGGCAATCGCTGCAAGTGCTTCATCAGAAACATGCCACTGAATTGATCTTGCATCCTTGAAATCCTAAGTTCAATGAATAAAATGGTCATATTGAAGTGTATACAGTAATAATGGTCTGAAATTGCTGTACAGTTAACAGCTTCAAAAACATTTTTGTGTCACATATTCAAAGTCTCTATCCATATTTGCATGTTAGTATCAACATTATTATTATAGCATGTCATACTATCAAATCAATCAAATGGACAAAATTTATTTATTTAGCGACTATCAGTCTCATTTTTTAAATCAATCTGTTAATTTCTCTCAAAGTCAAAGGCAGCAGCATCACTTCAGGAACAAAACAAATGGAATTTTAGAGCAAATGAAAACTTTGTTCCTTAAATTATTTATATTTAAAATTCCTCTTTATTTCAAAGACTTGATTTTGTGTGTGGTAGTGTGACAAATTAACAAACAGGAAATGTGTTACTTCACCTTGTGATAGTCTTTATGATGGGATAGGGACTCCACTCTGGCTGAACAACTTGCTCGTAAAGCATTTTCAGAAATAGGAGAGCTTAAAAAATATAATATTAAACAAATGTCAGTAGCTGTATTGAAATGTCCTTAAAAGACTTGATGCATATCCAAACAACCCACGGAGAAGAGTGGAGAAGAGAGGACTGTCTAAAATGAGATAGTAGGCCCAAAGTATATAGGCATATTATTTGTTATGGTTGATTGTCAATTTTTGTTTTAATTCATCCTTTCAACTTAATAATAATTGATAAATTTATGTATATAAATTATTCTGTGGTTCATTTTGTGTTTTCTTTTCCAATATACCTTCTGATTTTAGGTAAGTTAACCATTTTTATATTTTAGGTAGGTTAACAATTATTATAGACCAATGCCTAGAGTAAACGGATGGACAAATGTTGTGAATGAAAGGGTAGACCAATCCTGTGAGTGGAAGGATGGACCAATGCTGTGAGTGAAGGGATGGACAAATGTGAGTGTAAGAATGGACACGACCCTAGGCAACAAAAACACATTTAGCAGCCTAAAATGAGAGTCAATTTGCAATGTACTCAAACACTTTGGCCTTCCCCAAAACTTCAAATCACTCTGAGAAATTTCAACAAAGAATTTTCACCAAAGATCAAATTACTGAACCTTTCAAAGTTGAGACTGGGATTGATCAGGGATGCATTCTATCAACACAGTTATGTCTAGAGGCCACTGATTGGCACACAGTGCAAACTACTCAAGAAAAGAGGCCACTGATTGGCACACAGTGCAAACTACTCAAGAAAAGAGGCCACTGATTGGCACACAGTGCAAACTACTCAAGAAAAGAGGCCACGATACAATAGACGCTGACCTCAAAGCTTGAAAACCTGGACTATGCTAATTAAATCAAATGACATGGTTGACATGAGATTTGATGAATAGCTGACATTGCTAGTAGGTCCATCATAAACTCAAAAGTTAATATGTGAAAGAACGCAGATGGGCCCACAAGGAATGAATGACTGGATAAATGAAAAAAATAAATGATGTGAATTTTAGGAGACTGATTAAATCAGATAAGATAAGATCAGATTCTTTTATTGATCCAAATAAATGGAAATGTTTTTTGATTGCATTATACATTTTCAGCACATAAATAAAACAACTTGAACGCAAGACATTTATAATAAATTATTTCAAACGGCCATTCAGTGAGTTCTCTTAGCCAAATCGGGGACTTATTAATTCTCATTAAGATGTGTGACTTCAGTGGAAGCATGCCAGTAAATTCGTACACATTGGGGAACAAAAGAATTTTTATATCTGTCAGTCCTCGCCCTGATGGAAAGAATTCGTCCCAAATGGCCCGATCCTAAGTATTTGTGATGAAGAGGGTGGGATGTATCATTCAAAATGTGTTTAGTTTTACAAAAAATCTTTCTGAGAATAGTTCTTCAAGTGAAGGATGTTTAGTTTGTGTTACGTTCCTAGATTTCTTAATTAGTCGGTTTATGCAGTGTTTAATATCAGATGTTGAATTCCCACACCAGCAGGTAATACTGAAATTAAGTAGGCTTCCAATTGTTGCACTGTAGAATAAGTTAATGATTTGCTTGTTTATGCCAAAATTTTACAGTTTATTTAGGTAGAACAGTCTTTGGTTGAATTTCGTATACAGCCTTTGACCGTGCTCATGCCATGTTAGCTTATTATTAATGGTGACACCTAAGTACTTGTATGCCTCCACTTTCTCTACACTTTGATTTTTTATGTTGAGATCTGTAATCTGGTATTTCCCCCTCCTGAAATCAACAACCATTTCCTTTGAGACATTCAACTGGAGAAAATTTTCATCACACCAATTGATAAAGCTTGTAACTAAGTTGCGGTATAAACCTTCTCCTTCAGATATTAAGCCAACAATGGTGGTATCATCAGCAAATTTTAAGATTGGAACAGTGTTGCTTGAGCTTTGAATATCATTTGTATATATTGTATATAGGACAGGAGAGAGAACGCAGCCTTGTGGTGCCCAGATGGTGGTCTCTGGTTAGAGATAATTGGTTAGTTACTTTGACATATTGTTGTTGATTTGTTAAAATGTTCAGTATCCAAGATACTTGTACTTGAAAATAAATACATAAAATATACCTGCTACCATACTTAAAGGGGCTTAAATGAAGATTTGGCCAATTTGAAGGGACTTAAATGCACACATTTTGTTCAGTTAAAAAAAATTACAAGTATCCTCAATTAATTACAGGTAACTTCAATTAATTACATGTATCCCCAATTAATTTTAAGTATCCCTGATTACTTACATGTATCCTCAATTACTTACAAGTATCCCCAATGACTTACATGTATCCTCAACTAGTTACAAGTAACCCCAATTACTTAAAAATATCCCCAATTACTTACAAGTAACCCCAATATGGGTCATGATATGAATATGTCTCAAGGCGACGTTTTGGGGTTGCAAGTTTCTCAACACGTGGGGTTGAGCTAGCAGATAGGGTTGACCTATTGACCTGCCATTCTGGACTTCTATCAAAACTGTATTCAGGATGAGGGTTTCGATGTGCACTCAGCTGCAGTATTCTTGAGGAGGCGGAGCTTGACTTGGCACTGTCGGACACGGGCCATGAAGCACTGGCTCTGAAATAGTTTTGGGGAAAAAAATCATCTAAACCAAATTTAGTCTAAAAATATATGAATTTTCCATCACTCTTCAGCCTGTAGGACAACTGGTTTTACTGGAACTTTTATGGCAGTAAAAATATATAATTGTGCAAACCTTTCCAAAACATTTACAATTAATTGATAGGCATTTTGTGCTCCATTGATTTCAAATTGTTATGACTTTAACTTAATAACTTGAGACCTTCATCAATACTTGAAATGTTACATCTTTGTTTATCTTATGGTTGACTACTTCTACGTTTTCTAGGGTGCATGAATCTCTCTCTCACATAAAACACAAGGTCCAGTGTAACAATATAATAATTTATTGCATACGTTACAAAACAGGACACTGCTATTCAACATACTATGGTGCGTGGAACACACATCAGTCCAACTACCAACTATCCACTCTCCTAGCACTACTCTCTCGACTAACGTGTCACTCGCTCTTATCGATACTCGACAAACTCTTGACTGATAACTTTTGACGACTAACAATTCTTCTGTTACTCTTCTGCCTTTCTTCTGACGTCTAGCTAACACACTTCCCATTTTATATTACCACACAAAACAACTCAGCCTACACTAACATTCCACACCATGGACTAACTTCACGCTCTGACCTCACGATCAACAACTCACAAAACACTTTCACAATCCACAACTCCCCTTACCCAACATTCACACCAATCTAGGTCACAACACAAATCACAATCTAGACTTACAGGTAATTCATGCAGATAAATCCTTTTTTCCTTTTTGGACCATAAGGGTCTGTGATCTTAAACTGGTGTGCCATATTTGAGTTCAGAGCATTTCCAGGGATATTACTAAACTCATTACGTAAGCAGTTACTATCTAAACAGCCGAAATCAACACACATTAAGAGTGCTGTGTGGCCTGTATGGAAACTACACACATTCAGTGAACTTTGCAGCTATAATAAATTAGGCTTAAAATATTTTAAAAAAACATCTTTGAGTAAAATGTTTACACTACCATCAACATTACAAATTGTGCAGCTATTTTTGACACTTGACACATCAACATCTTCTTCTTCTATATTTTGAGGGCCCACGATCAATGAATTGATCATTTTTGATCCTATGCGTCAGAGGGGTTTGTGATGTTACTGTGCATGGTTCTCAAGGGGATACTTCATTGGTTGCAAGGGCTACTCAGCAGTGGTATTATGAACTGGGGGTTGCAAGACAGGAGGCAATAGACACAAATGTAGCTGCCTCACTGTTACTTTTGGAAGCTTGTTCCAGTCCATTATTACTTACTGTCTTTGGCAGAAATGAGGAGCTCCTGTACTGAGTTCTTGTTTTTATTTGCTGGAACTGCCTGTCGTGGCCTCGTTGCTGTCTAGGGGGAAGTTGTACGTGTTTCTGTTCCATACTGAAGCAGTGGATCAGCCAATTTTTTATCTTGTACAACATGGTGAGCCTAGGTAGTCGGTGTCGTTCTTCCAGTGGTGACCAGCCCAGTGTTTCTAGCATGCTGCCAACACTTGAGGTGTTTCTGTAGCAGTTCAGGACAAAGCAAGCTGCCCATTGCTGGACCGCCTCCAAAATGTCGATGCTTTTCTGGGTAGATAGGTCCCAGACTGTAGATGCATACTCTAAAGCGGACGGACAAAGGCTTTATAGGCTTTTTCTTTCATGCTTGAGTTGCCAATCTTCAGATTTTGCCTTAAGAACCCAAGGGTCTTGTTGGCCCGATTGCACATGTTGTTAGTGTGCTCATCCTAGCGGACATCTCTTTGAATGGTAACACCTAGGTACCAAACGGAGGAAACTGGCTCAAGAATATGCCCATGCAATTCATAAGAGAGGTGTAGAGGGGATCTGCTTCTGGAGACTGACAGGGTCTGGCACTTGGCGGGATGAAATTCCATGCCCCAGCTCATCAGCCCCTCTGCTAACTGATTGAGGTCCTGGTCAGAATTGTTGGTGATCGTCCTATACACCGCCGTGTCCTCTACAAACAGTCTTGCTTGAGAGGTCATTGATATATGTTTAGGAACAAACAGGGGCCCAGTACCCAGCCCTGGGAGACCCCTAACTTAACACCGACAAAGGAGGAGGTTGTGCCAACTACCCCTACTGCCTGGCATTGGTCGCTGAGGAAGCTAGAGATCCATGTTTTGGTAGTGCCTTGGATCCCATATCTCTTCATTTTGCGCAATAGAAAACTATGATTGACACAGTCAAATGCCTTTGAGAAGCACATCAGTTTGCTTGCTGTTCTCCAAATTGGTCATCCATTCTTCAGCAAATTCAAAGAGTTGGTTCTCACATGATCTGTTGACTTGGAAGCCATGGTGACAGTCATTGAGTATGTTGTGGCTTTCAAGATGATTCATGACAACACTTACGATTATGTGTTCCAATAGCTTGAACACTGCGCTCGTGAGGGATACAGGGGGATAGTTGGCAGGGTCATAATTATTCCCTTTTTGTCGATTGAATCGACATGCGCTGTTCTCCAGTCAGTTGGAACATTACAAATTGGTCAGCTATTTTTGACACTTGACGCATCAACATTACAAATTGGTCAGCTATTTTTTACACTTGACGCATCAACATTAAAAATTGTGCAGCTATTTTCGACACTTGACGCATCAACAAACATTCAGAGTGCAAATGTTATGCTATAATTATTGATGGTTTATGTCATGTATATTGACATTGTTAGGTTTTCATCAATAGTTTATGTCATGTATATTGACATGTTAGGTTTTTATCAATGGTTTATGTCATGGATATTGACATTGTTAGGTTTTCATCAATGGTTTATGTCATGTATATTGACATGTTAGGTTTTCATCAATGGTTTATGTCATGCATACTCACCTGTCAGGTTTCCACTGATCAGCAGTTTTGTGTTTCGCTAGCTCATGAACTCTCGGTGATGCATCTATGGAGACAGATAAGTTATTTTCAACAACACATTTATTTTGAGGTCATAGTTTTCATATTCCTTCAATGTAACATTCACTTAAGTATTATTCTGTTCTTTTCTACAAAAGGCTTATTCATAATCCTGCTAGAACGAACACTAAAAAATGAAATTATGTTTTTGTTGTAGACAAAAAAAAATATTATTTTGCCTTAAGTTAACAAGTCTTTTTTTAAAGTCTGGATGATTTGCTATGCTGTGAGAATTCATATTTATAATCTTATAAAGCTCAATCATTCTGCTCACCAATAACAGTGTGCCCTTCTGGTCCTCCTCTTGGTGGCTCCTTATCTACCCAATACACTGACCGTCTACACATACATGTAAAAAAAGTAACCATTTAATATTATAATCTAATGTATATGGTAACTTTTTGTTTGGTAACATTAACAAGTTGTAAAATAAATCATCTTTCAATGGGTTATACCAAAATTGTTGGAATAAATTTCACCTGTTTTGCCTGTACTGTGGATGATGTGATCGAGGCTGGGCTAAAATGTCAAGCCTTTGTACTGTCATTTGTAAAGAAAATAGATTATCATTATAAAGTTAGTAATATCAATTAAATAAAGCTAAAAGTCATTTAAAATAAGAATTAAATCACTTTACTCAGGCAGTTCAAAGCAGTTTAAAATTATATTTAAAGAGCTTTATTTCCATGAACATTTTGTAAAGCTTTTCCTATGAAAGCCAAGAGACCTTAACCCTAACCCCCTGCCCCTACTGTTTTGATTTGATTAGCTGAGCTACCAATAGCTCTCTAGAAGCTATTGGTAGTTAACTACAAATAGGTCCATAGAAGATATTTGTAGTAAATTACCAATAGTCTTGAAAAGTCAATAGACGCTTTTACTTTTTCATAATTTGAAATTTCCCCGGTCCCCAGTAAGTAGTAAGGCAGTAAGTAGATGCATGCATTACATAATAATAAACGAATAAGATCTTACAAAGGATTATTTTAAAATTTAGCAGGTTAAACATCTAAGTTGTCAAATAATTATTGTTCAAGACACTTTAATCATAACTGATTAAATAAAGTTTTTTTTTTTTTAAATTTTTATTCAAGACTGTTTTTTAAACCAAACCTGTTTCAGAGGACGCCATCTTTAATTGCCAATGGTTGCTTGGCTACCAAATTTCAAGGGAGGTTAAAATTAAAGCTTATTTAAACTACGATGAAAGAAAATTGGTTTAAGTAGACAAATTAAGAAAATTTATATTTTTAAAAAAGATCAATTAAATATTCTTCATGCCTAGCTGCAATTAGCTAATGTTTTTATCTTTTTTTAATAATAAGAAAAATTAGAGCTACAAATATGAACTTTATTTTATGCAAGGTAAAATCATGATGTAATGACTCAAAATGCTTTCGATCAGTACAGTTTGAAACAAAATAATATGACTATGACGTTTTTAATATTAATATAAATAGCTTTCTTATATAGCCAAAGCACAGGTGAAACCTGAAAAATATAATAAACAAAACAGCAAACGTGACTCTACTATTAAAAGCTTTCGCCAGCGAATGGTACAAAGAAAAACGAATAAAAATGATTTACAAAGTAAAAATAAAACTTAAAATTATTAAAATGTTATTTCCAAGAGAACTATAAGAGGATTACAATATAGAGGGACTGCATTGTCTTTAGACAAATTCTGTACTAAGATGCTACATTCATATCATTGTTTTTGTTTTTTTTTTAATTGAAGGTTTTCCATACCTATTGATATTTCCTAAGAATTTTATGACATTTTTTTTTCACTGTTGAATATTTTCATAAAACGTTGGCCTTTGAAAAGTTTGGCTTTTTGGCTTTGTATGTGGCTTAAAAATAACAGCAACAAGAAATATATATAATATATATATATATAAATATATATATTTATTTATTTATAAAAGAAGCAAATGTGCTAATTTTAATTATAATATGAAAGCTTAATTAATTAAGCGTAATGTAAGTGTAGTAAAGTTTGCTTTTTGTAGCAGTGAATATCACGGATCGAGAGTGCCCGAAATCACCTCAACTTTTTTTAGAACCCAATAACTATACTTTAACTTAAATACTTTATTATGAATCAAGATGTTTAGGCATAATTAATAATATATGATTTTACAGCTGTATTTCATGCTAATAAGGCAATGACTTCAATCTGATTCGGTAAAAGGAAATATGTTAGAAGTTTTGCTGCTTCCTTTTTTTGCAGCTTTTCCCATACTTTGTCCTTAATAATATTATTTCCTTTTATTACACACTAAGCATAATCAAGCCTTCTCACAGACCAGAGTTATTGGAAATTTAGAATTTTGCTGTTACGTGAATAATAAGCCTGGCCAAAATATAGGAAAGTTAACCAGCAATTTCTTTTTCTTCCCTCAGAGGTCAGCCTGAGTCTTCACTAATAATTTTAAGTCAATTTAAGTGTAACGGAATACTAAAGCCATAAGCCATAAGCATAGGATATCAAAAGGCTATAGTCAGTATAGTATAGTATAGCCGTATAGCATTATAGCCTGTATGTCTTCTATTCTGATATGTAATTTTTCCATTTTATCTCTGAAAAGAGCATTGAAAGTCATGGAGTTAATATTAATTTTTTTTAAAATTTGTATAGTCACGAATGTACACTAAATCAAGACAAGTGTGAATTAAATGCATGTTTTCTAAAATTGCGATTCAATTGTCTGATGTGTACCTTGTGATAATTAGTTTTTCGCATCAGTGCTAGCAGGCCAAGCCCCAGTAAAAAATGTAATATAAAAGATTATTAGAATTTTTGTTAAAATGTTAATGCAAAAATAAATTACTCTAACAAAGAAATTTTCTCTTTTCTGAATTTAGCAAAGTTAAACTTGTTTAACGTTGATTAATATGTTTAATAGTAAAATAATTTAGTATGGATTTCTTACTTTTAAAATGATGTTTTGGTAAAATGTCATGTTTATCTCGGATCTCGATTAAGAGACCAGTAGGCCTACTGGCCTAGAACTCAAGTTTATTTTGTTATGTTTAGAGACCTTTTAAATTGGATTAATAATTATCTTATTTTATGACATAATAATAAAAATAAAGAATTATTAAATTTTGCTGAGCCTACTTACTACTTCTGTAGCTTTTCTACTCTGCAATGACAATATATTGTTGTATAAAATAAAGTAAGTAAAGTAGGATTACTAGCCTATGTTATTTTTGCTTAATTTAATTATTTTTCTTTTCAGTAATCAGTGAGCCCATGGTGAAGACAACTGAATGTAGAAACATCACAAAAATAATTGCATTCAAAATCCCCAAACATGTCTGAAAAATCCTCTGACTCTATACGCGGAACAACCTTGACACTGTACAATAGGTTTGCTGAACTTATGCTTGTTGTAGGACTGGATGAAAATACAGGTCTTGTTCCAGCTCGTAAAGATATTGTGAGTGTCTTAGTTTGAAGATTAATTCAGATATAAGTTAATTCTGTTAAAGCATAAAGTAATATTATACACACCATTAATCAATGGGTTATGTGTAGTTTGTATTCTGATTTTTGAAGGTTGCCTCGGTAGCTCTCTAAATTTCTAAATGTTTTAATCAGGTTTTCCAAATTTTACTGGAGGCACTAAAAACTTAATAACTTTAAAACCAACTTTAAAAAAATTAAGTTAAATTTGTGACAGATAATGTACTTTCCAATAACATAATTTAAAGATTTTTTAGAGGAATAGGGGGAGCCACGGATCTTAATCAATTAGAAAAAATACATTTCTTAGTAAAATTGATTGGCATTTCCTTGCACGTGTTATCAACTTTTGTCAGTAAAATTAAATGCACATATTCTTGAATGTGTTAATACATTTATTGTCAGTTAAGTGTAAATTGCATATGCTTGATTGTATTTGAAAATATGTCAGACGGATGCTGACCCAGATGACCTACTGAACAATATTTTTGATGATGAGTATGAGGCTCAGGTACTTGCTGCAATCTCAGCATCAAAAGCGCTGGTCTTCCAACCTGATCTCATGGAAGATCCCACTTACCCTCCATCACCAGAGTCCATTGTAACAACTAATAGTTTCAAGACTCTAAGGTTAGCATAGTTTGAAGACTCTAAGGTTAGCAACTGTGTTATAAGATTTCATACTTAGGTCCTTCTGCCAACATCTTCAGAGTCTCTTGTGAAAACCAATAGACTCTCAGGGGAGCAAATGTTTTACAACACATCTGAAGAGGGAATTGTTCGATTTTTATCCAATATATTTTGAGTCTTGTGTCACCATTCTTTTGGTAAATAAACAATATTTTAGTAAAAAAGGACTTAATAATTAGGGACGATGAGGTAAAAAATTCCACCTTATGAAACCTGGCTCAGTATTTCACATCATGATACCTGGCCGCATATGGTGATAAAGTGCCCAAGAATTGTGTTGACTGGCCATGCTAAAATTTTATGGATTTTTCAATAATATTAAAAAAAAAAAATCTGATATCAATCACAGGTCCCAGTCTGAGGAATTTTGTCTGATTAAGCACAAAAATGCCAAGCCTCACCGAGCTGTCTCTGTTAACCCAGCAGTCATCAAGAAACGACTGGCCAATGCTGAGTCTTCAAGCTCTAACTCTAAGACAGTGTTGGATCTGCCTTTATCTAAAGATGCCATTGAAACAATCACAATGTTTTGCTTTCCTGGTCAGTATGTTGTCAATTTGAAATTTTTTTTTTAAAGTGCTGACTTTTTGGTGAAATGTTAGGATTCAGGGATATAGATAACATATTTTTATACATTTTGTTATAAAATTATTCTGACATATTTCAAATGGTGGTAAATTTCATGTTTTATTTAGTGTCTACATCTCAAACTCTATGTTGATAATTCATTATTGATGGGATCATATATTCCTATACAAGTATTTTGTTGGTAATTGTGATATTATCTCCTCAGACAATTCAAATGTACAAATAAAATAGACTTTAGCTTCAGACAGTTCACATATACATACAGATAAGAATTTATCCACAGACAATTCACATGCATGTAAAGATACGACTGTATGCTTTGAGATGTTTATCAAGATAAGCCTGCCATTAACACCTCAGATAATGCCCATGTCTTTCAAGATAAGCCTCTCACTTTGTCTTCAGACAATGCCCATGTTTATCAAGATAAGCCTGTCACTATATCTTCAGGCAATACCCTTGTTTATTAAGATAAGCCTCTCACTATTTCTTCAGACAATGCCCATGTTTATCAAGATAAGCTTGTCACTATGTCTTCAGACAATGCCCATGTTTATTAAGATAAACCTCTCACTATTTCTTCAGACAATGCCCATGTTTATCAAGATAAGCTTGTCACTATGTCTTCAGACAATGCCCATGTTTATTAAGATAAGCCTCTCACTATGTCTTCAGACAATGCCCATGTTTATCAAGATAAGCCAGACAACAATATCCACTTCCTAGTCCTAACTGATGTCTCTGGTAACAAGACTTATGCCTCCTGTCTGACATTCTACAAGCCATATAAGCTCACAAAGGTATGTCTTTAATACAATAGCCAATGTGGTATCTGAGCATTTAATTTTATATAAGAAAGAGCATTACAATCTCATAGCAATATAACACTTTCACACAATAACATTATAAAACTTTAACAGAGTTTTAAAAAAAAAAACTTGTTGATTTTTCATTTCTATATAATAATTCAATTTAATAAAATAATTTATGGTTATAAAATATTGTAGTTGGTCTGAAAAAATATAATTTTGACATTGATATTGTGGGCTGTTGTAAATATTTTTGTGCAGTCCATTTTTTATATGACAACTTTGCACCATCAGTTTTTGACTATTATGTTTACTAGGAATCTAATGGCACAATTTCCTACCTTAACCATGATATCAGTTTTTGACAATGTATTTTTTAGGAATCTTATGGCACAATTTCCTACCTTAACCATGATATCAGTTTTTGACAATGTATTTTTTAGGAATCTAATGGCACAATTTCCTACCTTAACCATGATATCAGTTTTTGACAATGTATTTTTTAGGAATCTTATGGCACAATTTCCTACCTTAACCATGATATCAGTTTTTGACAATGTATTTTTTAGGAATCTTATGGCACAATTTCCTACCTTAACCATGATATCAGTTTTTGACAATGTATTTTTTAGGAATCTTATGGCACAATTTCCTACCTTAACCATGATATCAGTTTTTGACAATGTATTTTTTAGGAATCTAATGGCACAATTTCCTACCTTTAGCATGATATCAGTTTTTTACTATGTATTTTCTAGGAAACTAATGGCACAATTTCCTACATGCTTCAAGATCGTAGAGCTAAAACCACAACTGATGCTGACATTATTTATTGCTACATCCCTCAATGTTGTGTGCTGGTCTCAAAGTTTCCATATTTCTATGCCATGAAGGAATGTTTATCTTGGTGAGTCCCCTCTCCCAGAAATAATATAAATGTTGAGTGAAGGAGTGTTTGGTGATTTTAAAAATATTTTGGTTTGTTTATGTGTGTGAGTATTTTAGAGATCTGCTGCTTGATCATTTATTGTGTGTGAATATTTTAGAGATGTACTGTTTGATCACTTTTTTACTGTGTGTGAATATTTTAGAGATGTGCTGTTTGATCACTTTTTTACTCTGTGTGAATATTTTAGAAATGTGCTGTTTGATCACTTACTGTGTGTGAATATTTTAGAAATGTGCTGTTTGATCACTTACTATGTGTGAATATTTTAGAAATGTGCTGTTTGATCACTTACTGTGTGTGAATATTTTAGAAATATGCTGTTTGATCACTTACTGTGTGTGAATATTTTAGAAATGTGCTGTTTGATCACTTACTGTGTGTGAATATTTTAGAAATGTGCTGTTTGATCACTTACTGTGTGTGAATATTTTAGAAATGTGCTGTTTGATCACTTACTGTGTGTGAATATTTTAGAAATGTGCTGTTTGATCACTTAGTGTGTGTGAATATTTTAGAGATGTGCTGTTTGATCACTTACTGTGTGTGAATATTTTAGAAATGTGCTGTTTGATCACTTAGTGTGTGTGAATATTTTAGAAATGTGCTGTTTGATCACTTACTGTGTGTGAATATTTTAGAAATGTGCTGTTTGATCACTTACTGTGTGTGAATATTTTAGAAATGTGCTGTTTGATCACTTACTGTGTGTGAATATTTTAGAAATGTGCTGTTTGATCACTTACCGTGTGTGAATATTTTAGAAATGTGTGATGTTCTCAACAAAACAACAGCACTCATCAAGAAAATAGCCAAACAAGAACAACATTTTCTAGTTTCCAGACTGAAGAACTAGAGACTCTGTGTATCTGCCAGTGTAAAATCAGTCATATGACTATTTGTGTCACAGGGTGTAGTCACTATTTGTGACTCTGTCACAGTATGTCTTGTGACTATATGTGTATCTGTCATGGTTTGTCATGTGACTTTGTTTCTATCTGTCAAGGGTATGTCATATGACTATTTGTGTATTTGCCACAGTATGATCAGTCATGTGGAGAGAGACTTGGAGGAGATGTTTCAGTTTCTCAAGGACTTCACCTACACCATGACAATGTCTCCTGTTCCACCTGCTGGTAATGTCATAGTGGTAAGTTGGTACCTCCTGTATCACCTGCTGGTAATGTCATAGTGGTAAGTTGGTAATTCCTGTACCACCTGCTGGTAATGTCATAGTCGTAAGTTAATACCTCCTGTATCACCTGCTGGTAATGTCATAGTCGTAAGTTGGTAGCTCCTGTATCACCTGCTGGTAATGTCGTAGTCGTAAGTTGGTAGCTCCTGTACCACCTGCTGTTAACATCATAGCGGTATGTGGGCAGAATTTCTTTTTGTGTTATTCATTCACATTGCCATGTTGTTACATGGAGTCTCAACTTTCTGTGACCACATGCCGCCACTCAATGCAACAAAAACAGGGCAGATGAGTTTCATGTATATTGTTGGCTGGCAAAATACAAAAAACATTCCGTCCTAGTTTGATCAATGGAAAAGGTCTGTCATCCATCAGCTGACGGGTTAGCATTGCAACCAGTAGAAAATGGAATGGTCACATTTCAATTATTTTGAACATTAGTTATATTCCATAGAGCAGCCATGTTTTAGTGGTTCAATGATTAAAAGGTGTGAAATAAATGGAACTGGGCAAAATAAGAAATTATTTTTAGAGGAACATTGTCTCGTACATTTATGTTGAACTACTTGGGATATGTACCTTTATGTTGAACTACTTGGGATATGTACCTTTATGTTGAACTACTTGGGATATGTACCTTTATGTTGAGCAACTTGGGATATGTACCTTTATGTTGAACTACTTGGGATATGTACCTTTATGTTGAACTACTTGGGATATGTACCTTTATGTTGAACTACATGGGATATGTACCTTTATGTTGAACTACATGGGATATGTACCTTTATATTGAAATACTTGGGATATGTACCGTTATTTTGAACTTCTTGGGATTTTGAAGGGGGTGGGGTTGGCATTCATTGAAATAAAATGACAGGTGCTGTTCTGTTGAGTGGATTGATATTATTATATTGAACTGTTTACAAAACCTTACAATTGTATTAAGCTGTTCACCTATTTACAAATAGGCATTTAATCAAAATAATGTTAAGAGTACCACTAATAATAACACACTAGAACTTCTGTCTTCATAAGAATAGGAAGATTTCTTAAAGTGACAGTTGGCTGCTTTTCAATAGATAGCTTGAAACAGATGCTGTTGTTATAAAATCATGCTTTTCAATAGACAGCTTGAAACAGATGCTGTTGTTATAAAATCATGCTTTTCAATAGATAGTTTTAAACAGATGCTGTTGTTATAAAATCATGCTTTTCAATAGACAACTTGAAACAGATGCTGTTGTTATAAAATCATGCTTTTCAATAGACAACTTGAAACAGATGCTGTTGTTATAAAATCATGCTTTTCAATAGATAGCTTGAAACAGATGCTGTTGTTATAAAATCATGCTTTTCAATAGATAGTTTTAAACAGATGCTGTTGTTGTAAAATTACACTTCTCTTAACAAACAACCAGAAAAACCATTAGCAAATAAAAAGTTTTTAAATTTGATTGTAAACATTCACTTTGATTCTTTTAATTTTTAAAAATTTGTTTAATGATACTTAATTTTGTTTGCTTAAGATGTTTTCATTTGTGATGGAAAATCAATTTTTGTTGTCATCATTCTTTATGCTTAAATATGGATGTCAACAAAGTTTCTTTTATTCTTTCCATCTTCCAGGAGATGAGTGTCTACAATTTGTCAGTGTCATTATATCCATCCGAATCCCCAGAGAAACCAGTCATAGATCTCCCTCTTCATTTGACCTTTCTGTGTTTTCCTGTGGATGAGCTGCTCAAGATTTTTACAGCCATCCTGTGTGAGGAGAGACTTGTCTTTGTCAGCTTTAACTATGCACTGTTGACAACTGTCATGGAGGTAAGCTACTGACAACTGTCACGGGGGTAAGCCACTTGCAACTTTCTTGGATTTAAGCTACTTGCCATACTGTGTAAGGGGAGAATTTCTTTGTCAGCTTTAACTAAGCACTGTTGACAGCTGTAATGGTGGTAAGCTACTTACAACTGTCATGGGGGTAAGCTACTTAAAACTATTTTTGGATATAAGCCACTTGCCATGCTGTGTAAGGAGAGACTTTTCTTTGTCGGCCTTAACTATGCACTGTTTACAGCTACCAGTAAAACCTAGCAATTTTTTCCCAGAGTTTTCTCTACTACATTCTGCCATTTGCATGGAGGTTCACCTATGTGCCAATACTGAGCGCTTCATCCCTGGAGTTGCTGGAGGCACCAGGGACTTTCATGATGGGCTGTCATTCGAAACACCTGGATGTTGTGGAGCAGGTAAACAAAGCTTGCCCTTTTACCTTTTTTATTTGGCTAGATTTCCTGGAAATATTGGAACAAACATTGATTAGAACTAGATACTCACCGAATTTCAGCATCCCTTTTGGCGCCGAAAGTTGCCAATTGATCACTTTTGATCTAGTTTTGGCTTCGGCCGAAACAGAAAAGTTAACTTTGTTTAATTTCAGTTGGAGGCTTTTGGCTATCTTGGTGAAAGTGATGATGTTTTCTGTCATCTACCAGAAGACAGACTGTCTGTCTCTTTTATGGTTGGCAATCCAATATTCATTATTGCTCAATGTCTTGTTGTCATCATATGTTGTACCAACATGAGGTCCACAATAATGATGGAACAGAATATCCAGGGATACATAAACACACAACAATAAGAAAATAGTAGAAATACAGGGAAACAGAGAAACATTAGTAGGATAGTATTTGATTAATACCATATGGAGATAGGGTGCCAAACAGCTGAATAAATTTATTTTCCATTTTAACCCTCTCTGGTGTGTTACTGCATGAAATCAGTGCTGTAATGGTTACATCCAATGCACCATTATGTTCATCTCTGTTGAAATGAGAAGAGACTGGGGAAGGTTTACCTTGTTCAATATCCCGGAGATGTTCAGTACACCTATCAGCCAATCTTCTCCCAGTTTCACCTATGTAACTAGATTGGCATCTACGGCTAGGGAAAAATGCTAGGGAATGGTAATATTTCCATTATCATTTTTAATTAAATAAAAATTAGGAAAACATTAGAATTTTTCAATTCAATCATTTCTTGAAATTCATCAATATCATGCTCATCAACATTGTTATTGACAAAATAGCATGCATGTGCATGAATATCGGGTTCGAATAATAATTATGTAGTAGGCCTACTGCAGACCTGTTTACTTTTATGATTTTGATGACCAAATTAGAATTTTGAGATCTCCTTTTTCAATTCTCCATCGAGACCCGTCAGTACAACAATTTTAAGAGACCAGTTTGAAAAAAATTTTTTGCCCACCAGTGGGGGTTAGGGAGGATGGTCACTGAACAAAATAATGACATCACCAGCACGGAATGACAAGTGTGTTGGTATTAGGCTAAATATTATTCACAGTGATATCTTGCCAGCTATGTATGAAGACATAAAGCATTAGTATGATGATAACAGCGAAAAATTGGGGTGAAATTTCTATAGCCTTAATAACTGATATTTAGTTGACAATTGGCACTATTAGAGCCAAAATACTGATGGTAAATGTTTGTCTAGGTAGCTTTGCAATTATATTATAAAATCAAAGGGCACTCAAGGTTCTATTTTGCATGAATTTTGTCCCCTTCCCCCAGTCCAAATACTCTCTTACCAATGCTACTTTAAAAAAAAAATTTTTTTTAAAAGAAATTTGAATCATTTTTTAATTAAAATGGTAAAAGCCAAAGTATTCATTAAATGTTTATTTATTAAGGTTCCTGAAGATTTATCTTTTGTATAAAAAGAATGTAAATATTGATACTTTTCCCTATCATTTTTAGATGCATGCAGAATGAATGCCTGAGAGAATTTAAAAATATCTAAATCTTTCGGTTTGGGCTTTGATTTCAGCCAATTGTCTCGTTAAGCTTTCGCGTTTGGGCTTTGATTTCAGCCAATTGTCTCGTTAAGCTTTCGCGTTTGGCTTTAATTTCAGCCAAAAGTAATTTTAAAATTTCTGCCTTGTTTTGGTTTCGACCGAAATCAGAAAATCACTTTCGGTCTGTCTCTAATAAGAAAAAACATGGATTGGAACAAACATTGGTTAGACCAAGACTATATAAAGAGACATCTAGTTCCAAATAAAATATGCATATTTACCCCTTTCTCTGGCTCACTGTAATCTCATAGAGTTGTTAATCCATATCTCACTGTAATCTCACAGACCTGTTAACCCATATCTCACTGTAATCTCACAGACCTGTTAGCCCATATCTAAAAGCCCTTTGTAATGAAATCCCAGTGGCATGACATCCACTTATACCTGTTATCCTTACATCTCAATAGTCAGGTAATCCTATAAATCAGTAGTCTAGTATCAATCCATATTTTATAGCCCTGTGTTATGAAAAAAAACCAGCTGAAGCCTAACATCCACTTATAAATACATCCTAACATCCACTTATAACTACATCCTAACATCCACTTATAAATACATCCTAACATCCAATTATAAATACATCCTAACATCCACTTATAACTACATCCTAACATCCACTTATAAATACATCCTAACATCCAATTATAAATACATCCTAACATCCAATTATAAATACATCCTAACATCCAATTATAAATACATCCTAACATCCAATTATAAATACATCCTAACATCCACTATAAATACATCCTAACATCCACTTATAAATACATCCTAACATCCAATTATAAATACATCCTAACATCCAAATATAAATACATCCTAACATCCACTTATAACTACATCCTAACATCCACTTATAAATACATCCTAACATCCAATTATAAATACATCCTAACATCCACTTATAAATACATCCTAACATCCAATTATAAATACATCCTAACATCCAATTATAAATACATCCTAACATCCAATTATAAATACATCCTAACATCCACTTATAACTACATCCTAACATCCACTTATAACTACATCCTAACATCCACTTATAAATAACTCCTAACATCCACTTATAACTACATCCTAACATCCATTTATAAATACATCCTAACATCCACTTATAAATACATCCTAACATCCACTTATAACTACATCCTAACATCCACTTATAAATACATCCTAACATCCACTTATAAATAAATCCTAACATCCACTTATAAATACATCCTAACATCCACTTATAACTACATCCTAACATCCACTTATAAATACATCCTAACATCCAATTATAAATACATCCTAACATCCAATTATAAATACATCCTAACATCCACTTATAACTACATCCTAACATCCACTTATAAATACATCCTAACATCCACTTATAAATACATCCTAACATCCAATTATAAATACATCCTAACATCCAATTATAAATACATCCTAACATCAAATTATAAATACATCCTAACATCCAATTATAAATACATCCTAACATCCAATTATAAATACATCCTAACATCCACTTATAACTACATCCTAACATCCACTTATAAATACATCCTAACATCCAATTATAAATACATCCTAACATCCACTTATAACTACATCCTAACATCCACTTATAAATACATCCTAACATCTACATCCTAACATCCACTTATAAATACATCCTAACATCCAATTATAAATACATCCTAACATCCACTTATAACTACATCCTAACATCCACTTATAAATACATCCTAACATCTACTTATAACTACATCCTAACATCCACTTATAACAACATCCTAACATCCACTTATAACTACATCCTAACATCCACTTATAAATACATCCTAACATCTACTTATAACTACATCCTAACATCCACTTATAACTACATCCTAACATCCACTTATAAATACATCCTAACATCCACTTATAACTACGTCCTAACATCCACTTATAAATACGTCCTAACATCCACTTATAACTATGTCCTAACATCCACTTATAAATACATCCTAACATCCTCTTATAAATACATCCTAACATCCACTTATAACTACATCCTAACATCCACTTATAAATACATCCTAACATCCAATTATAAATACATCCTAACATCCAATTATAAATACATCCTAACATCAAATTATAAATACATCCTAACATCCAATTATAAATACATCCTAACATCCAATTATAAATACATCCTAACATCCACTTATAACTACATCCTAACATCCACTTATAAATACATCCTAACATCCAATTATAAATACATCCTAACATCCACTTATAACTACATCCTAACATCCACTTATAAATACATCCTAACATCCACTTATAAATACATCCTAACATCCACTTATAACTACATCCTAACATCCACTTATAAATACATCCTAACATCCAATTATAACTGCAGCCTTACATCTACTAATGCCTGTATCCATGCATCCACTTATGCCTGTATCCACTTGTTTCAGGTTGATGGCTTGGTTGTTGTTAACATTGATGAAGGCACTGTCACAGTTAATACCTCTAGCGAGCCTACCACTCCATTCTCCACACTCTCCTTCACATCCACTTTACCTGACTTCCATGTATTGACCAGTACTTCAGTCATTCCAAACTTGCCTGTGGAACCTACCAACCTATTTAAGAAGATCTGCAAAAGATCCAAATTTCAAATGGAACTCTCTGATGTTCAAAGGTAAGAATTTCAAATGAAATATATGGATATGTGTAGCCCGACATATCCATCTCACAGTAGACCAACATGTCCATCTCACAGTAGACCAACATGTCCATCTCTCCATCTCACAGTAGACTAAAGTGGCCATCTCACAGTAGACCAACATGTCCATCTCACAGTAGACTAACATGTCCATCTCACAGTAGACTGAAATGGCCATCTCACTGTAGACTAACATGGCCATCAGACAGTACTATAATATGGTAAAAAAATCTATGTTTATATTTTTTCAGACCATTCTACTATGATATAGAGGAAGAAAGAGCATTTCGCATGAAGAAATGTCTACAGTTTAACACTGAGATCAGCTTTGCTTTTCTTGAGATGATGGTCAACTTATTTCGGTAATAAAGGAGTATGTTTCAATGTGTTCTTTATGTTTCATTGAGTGTCCTTTATGTTTCAATGTGTTCTTTAAGTTTCATTGATTGTTCTTTATGTTTCATTGTGTGTTCTTTATGTTTCATTGTGTGTTAGAATACTTTGATACCTGTTCATGTACCCTGGCCTGCAGTTGTTCTTCGAAGTCCAGTAATTTGTTATTTATTAACCATACAATTAACATGCATTTGCACAAGTTCAAAAATCAAATTTTTACAAAATTGAGGGTACTATGTTAGTAAAGCACTACACTGAAATAACTTGTCTTGCTTTTACATCTAAATAAAATCGTTGAAATAAATAGAGGAAGCATTGGTTTATGCTAAATGTATAACTGCGTGGTCTCTAACTACTGTTACATTTATGTGATATTTAATGTTAAGAACTCTACTAAGTTGTTTCAACTGCATGACCAGCCGTCGTTTTTTCAATGTGTTATATCATCTGTACTACTATCTGTGTTTGTGGTTTTTTCATTGTGCTGTTGGATGATGTTGAGAACTTATTGTTGTTACCTTAGTTATAATAATTATACAAGAAGAACTGAACTTTTAACTTACTCAAAGTTTATGCATCTTCTTAATTTTAATTCATTTGAAACATTTATTTTTATTTTTGTTAACTTTCTAGTTTCACTTTCATGTCATCGCATCAAGGGGTTCTTAAGCATATTATTACTCTGTGCCCTTCAGTGATTCAAATAAGCATGTCAAATCAATACTATTTTAAAGTTGCATTTTTCCGTCCTGTCTCAAGTCAAAAATCCTCCTGCCCATCCCACCCAACACCCCAAAAAAGAAAGTAGTTTGAATTATTTTAAGAACCTCTTGAGCTAAACTAAGCATGTCATGGGCACAGGGTCTGTGTGGTGAAACAAACAAAGGAGGCCAGCAGCACCTAGTGCTCAAGATATTGTTAGTGTAGTCATAAAGTTAAAACAATCAAATGAGGCTATGAGAGCTGTTTTCCTCACATAAAAATACGTATCTTCAGCAGCTCTACTCATGAGGTCAACATCGTATGGAAATAATGACAAAATTACCGGTATACATTATAGTTCTTTAAAAATTCACTATAAACTGCTTAATTGCTTTCTTGAGATTGTATCCAAAATGCCTTGTAATAGCTTCATTGTTTTTCATTGACACTGGCAGCTGATTTTGATTCATGTGCTTCAAAGATAAAGCATAAAATCCATTGTTTTAAATTGAATAATATTATATTGTTAGCCATCACTACTTCAGCCAAGTCAGCCTGACTGGGTCTGATGTGTTAGCCATCACTACTTCAGCCAAGTCAGCCTGACTGGGTCTGATGTGTTAGCCATCACTACTTTAGCCAAGTCAGCCTGACTGGGTCTGATGTGTTAGCCATCACTACTTTAGCCAAGTCAGCCTGACTGGGTCTGATGTGTTAGCCATCACTACTTTAGCCAAGTCAGCCTGACTGGGTCTGATGTGTTAGCCATCACTACTTTAGCCAAGTCAGCCTGACTGGGTCTGATGTGTTAGCCATCACTACTTTAGCCAAGTCAGCCTGACTGGGTCTGATGTGTTAGCCATCACTACTTTAGCCAAGTCAGCCTGACTGGGTCTGATGTGTTAGCCATCACTACTTTAGCCAAGTCAGCCTGACTGGGTCTGATGTGTTAGCCATCACTACTTTAGCCAAGTCAGCCTGACTGGGTCTGATGTGTTAGCCATCACTACTTCAGACAAGTCAGTCTGACTTGGTATGATATGTTAGCCATTACTACTACATCATCAGTACATTACTACTACATCATCAGTAGGCCTACATTACTACTACATCACCACTACATTACACTAAATCACCACCACATAACCTTGCTAATAAGGATATGTTAGCTATCATCACCACTACATTACACTACACCATCAGTACATTACCACTATATCATTACTAAATCACCACCACATCACCACATCAACACCACAACAGCACCACTATATCACCAATACATCACCACTACATCACCACTACATCACCAATACATCACCACTACATCACCAATACATCACCACTACATCACCACTACATCACCTTGCTTGCTCTGATATTCTTAGGTTTAGGTTTGCATGCTTTCTTTGTTCTTGATGTTGTTTTGACCTTGACCTGCTTTGTTTTTGTGCTATTTGCAACAAAGGGGAACTCTGTCATTCATGAGAATTGAACTGAGACGCTTCAACAGACAGCAGTTCATTGAGAGTGTGTCTGAGTGGGATAGGCCATTCTATGAAAGGGTAATTACATTGAGAGTGTCTCTGAGTGGGGTAGGCCATTCTATAAAAGGGTAATTACATTGAGAGTGGCTCTGAGTGGGATAGGCCATTCTATGAAAGGGTAATTACATTGAGAGTGTCTCTGAGTGGGATAGGCCATTCTATGAAAGGGTAATTACATTGAGAGTGTCTCTGAGTGGGATAGGCCATTCTATGAAAGGGTAATTACATTGAGAGTGGCTCTGAGTGGGATAGGCCATTCTATGAAAGGGTAATTACATTGAGAGTGTCTCTGAGTGGGGTAGGCCATTCTATTAAAGGGTAATTACATTGAGAGTGTCTGAATGGGTAGGCCATAGATCTTGGATCAGATGTGTAAATTCTAAGCCTTCGGTCTCAGATCAATTGTCTAATGTCTTGGCCATTAGTCTCAAAGCAAATGTCCCGGGCATAAGTCTCAAAGCAAATGTCTTGGCCATAAGTCTCAAAGCAAATGCAGTCTGATTTCTTTATGGATCTTTACTTTTTTTTTAGCTTTGTTGATAATGAAAATATTAAGACCTATTAATAAGATACTTTACATGTTAAATATCAGAAGTATTCAAACACTACAAAAGGACATGGGTATGATGGCATGGGCAGCAAGACAGGACATGTGTATGATGGCATGGGCACCAAGACAGGACATGGGTATGATGACATGGTCACCAAGACAGGACATGGGTATGATGACATGGTCACTAAGACAGGACATGTGTATGATGATATGGCACTAAGACAGCACATGGGTATGATGTCATGGCACGAAGACAGGAAATGGATATGATGATGCAGGCACTAAGACAGGACATGGGTATGATGGCACAAGTACAAAGACTAGACATGGGTATGATGGCATGGCACCAAGACAGGACATGGGTATGATGGCAGGGCACTAAGACAGGAAATGGGTATGATGGCACAGGTACTAAGACAGTACATGGGTTTGATGGCATGGCACTAAGACAGGAAATGGGTATGATGGCACAGGTGCTAAGACAGGACATGGGTATGATTGCACGGGCATGACCAGCAAGAACATGGGTATGATGGCATGGTCATGACACAGCAAGAACATGGGTATGTTGGCATGTTTCATAAACAGCTAGGATATAATGATCGCACAGGCATGACACAGCATGTTTTTGCATGTTTAGTGAAGCTCATGCGATTCCTTGTATTTAGTATGACATAATGAATTTATCAAATGTAACAACATTCCTCCATTATTGAATTTGGTTCTTTTCTTTTTATTTTTATTTTTAAATACCATATTTAGAGGTGCAATAACTTTCATTAGGCAAGAACATACACATTTATTTTTTATTCTAATAAGAACAAATAGACCTCATTCAGAAGCCAACAAATTTGTGGAATGTTTCAGTCTCGGGCAACAACCTAGGGCAACAACCTAGGGCAGCAACCTAGGGCAGCAACCTAGGGCAACAACCTAGGGCAACAACCTCGGGCAACAACCTAGGGCAACAAACAAGGGCAACCACCACACATTAGTTTATCATTTATAAAATAGTCTTCGCGACATTTTGTTTTTTAAATAGAATGTTAGTCTCCCATTATTTCTCAAAGTTATCACGTGACTGTTGAAACTTGTATGAATGAATTCCAAATGAACTGTCTTAAAATTATTCTCCTTATTTTATCCTTTAAGAAAGTCAGCAAGTTGCACTTAAATTGTCTCCTGTATATTTGGCTGACATATAGAATGGCAACATATAAATTGTACCCTGTATATTTGACTGACATCAGATATAATGATAATGATAACAATATAAATTGTATGATATATATTTTGACATTAAAAGGACAATAATATATAATATAACCTATATATTAGACTGACCATGGAAAAAATGATAACTTTAAATAATGTATCTTCTAAATTTGATTGACATCAAAAAGAATGACAATATATAATGTAACCTATATATATTTGATTGACATAAAATAAGAATGACACTATATAATGTAACCTATATATATTTGACTGACAGAGAGAATGACAAAAATAGAGAATGTAACCTATATATTTGACTGACATCAAAAAAGAATGACAAAAATATATAATATAACCTATATATTAGACTAACCATGGAATATAATGTGACCTATATATTTGACTGACCACATAAAGAATGACCACATACATTGGTGTGTCATCCTTATGATGCTTTGTTGTTTTGTAAGGTGCTGAACACAGACATGTTTAAACAGTTCCTAGAAGACCGACTCAATGAAAAGGCAGACTACTGGTCTGATTATGAGATAAGAACCAAGCCTTATGCCAAACGTGTTACTGGAGTCCAGGATGGATCACCAGGGACAACTAACAGGTCAGATATGAAGTACAGGTGATATATGATGTTAAGGTAAGATATGAAATACAGGTAATATAAGATGTTCGTTAATGTAAATTGTTGAGGTATTATATGATGTTAAGGTAATATATAATGTTAAGGTTATATATGATGTTAATGTAATATATGATGTTAAGGTAATATATGAGTTATGGTAATATGTCATGTTAAGGTAAGATATGATATTACAGTATCATATAATGTTATGATAATATGGGATGTTAAGGTAATTTATGATGTTATGGTAATATATCATGTAATGGTAATATTTGATGTTATGGTAATATTTGATATTATGGTAACATATGATGTTAAGGTAATATATGATGTTATGGTAATTACCCAACATCCTTAATACTCCACTTGGGTATCAGTTGATATGGGAGAAAGAATTGATGAGATACAGATGTCCTCAATACTTTATTCTAATGTTTACAAGTGATTCATTTGAAAAATATAATGTTTACTTTTAGTTGTGTTCAAAGCTCTAGATTCTATAACTGTCATAACAGCCAATCAGGGGCTGTTAAACTCCCTTCTGTTGTGTAATTGGATATAATCGGCCACTAGCAAAAGCATCATTAAAAAATATGAATGATTTAATGGGAAATCACTGTATAAAAATGAGTTTGCTTCCTATTCCTGTTGCTATCTTTGTGGTAACAAGCTTTTATAAGGACTTGTGTTGTGATGGATTGGGTGTGTGTTGTGATGGATTGGGTGTGTGTTGTGATGGATTGGGTGTGTGTTGTGATAAATTGGGTGTGTGTTGTGATTAATTGGGTGTGTGACCAATGTTACAATTTTCTACACAAGTACCTTAAGCTTGATATTTGATGAAAAAATATTGCTTCTAGTATCTCAGGCACTTATTTTTATGATAGTTTGAACAATTTATGGAGTATTAGGTTGGGTTGAATAGAGAAGTTTAGTTATAAATTTTACTCATTCTGTAAAGGTCAAAGTCAACTTACAAAATATCAAAACACATTATTTACATACCATAAGATACCTTGTCTAATGTACTTTCAGAAAATGTATACTTATAAGAGTCTCTGAATTCATTTAGTCTTGTATTTTGTCATTTTTGATCAGCATATGACAATGCAAACAAAAAAATACATGAGTTGAAACTGCAGACTACAGAGAAATGCACTTGTCAGTTCTAGAGGCAAAATTATCGCCCTCAACTAAATCTATTTTAAATCTAGTGCTGCCTTAATTATTCAATAAATAATCATTTCAGTGACTGAATTCACACACTGGGTAACCATTTCACTGAAGAGACATAATGAAGTCTCTTATGACCAAACAAGTGTCCATCACAACTTTCTCATCTCATCCTTAAAATTCCAGGCATAAAATGAAGTCTCTTATATGACCAAACAAGTGTCCATCACAACTTTCTCATCTCATCCTTAAAATTCCAGGCATAAAATGAAGTCCCTTATGACCAAACAAGTGTCCATCATAACTTTCTCATCTCATCCTTAAAATTCCAGGCATAAAATGAAGTCCCTTATGACCAAACAAGTGTCCATCACAACTTTCTCATCTCATCCTTAAAATTCCAGGCATAAAATGAAGTCCCTTATGACCAAACAAGTGTCCATCACAACTTTCTCATCTCATCCTTAAAATTCCAGGCATAAAATGAAGTCCCTTATGACCAAACAAGTGTCCATCACAACTTTCTCATCTCATCCTTAAAATTCCAGGCATAAAATGAAGTCTCTTATGACCAAACAAGTGTCCATCACAACTTTCTCATCTCTGGCCCCAAGAATATTTGAAGTTTTCCGTTTGCCAACACTGAATGACTCAATCTCATACTCCAGAAACACGATGACAATGCTGAACAGGGCATTAGAGGTAAGATCAGGGCATTATTGGTGAGATCATGGCTTTATTGGTGAGATCATAGCATTAGAAGTCAGTTCTTGGCATTAGTGGTGAGATCATAGCTTTATTGATGAGATCATGGCATTAGAGAGGTGAGATCATAGCTTTATTGATGAGATTATGGCATTAGAGAGGTGAGATCAGGTCATTATTGGAGAGATCATGGCATTAGAGTTAAGATCATGGCATTAGAGGTGAGATCATGGCATAATAGGTGAGATCATGGCATTATAGAGGTGAGATCAGGGCATTATAGGTGAGATCAGGGCATTAGAGGTGAGATCATGGCATAAGAGGTGAGATTATGGCATTAGAGAGGTGAGATCAGGGCATTATTTGTGACATGACATTAGAGAGGCGAGATCAGGGCACTATTGGTGAGATCATGGCACTAGAGAGGTGAGATCAGGGCACTATTGGTGAGATCATGGCATTAGAGAGGTGAGATCAGGGCGCTATTGGTGAGATCATGGCATTAGAGAGGTGAGATCATAGCTTTATTGATGAGATCATGGCATTAGAGAGGTGAGATCATAGCTTTATTGATGAGATCATGGCATTAGAGAGGTGGGATCAGGGTATTAGAGGGGAGGACATAGCATTAGAGTTTCAAACTTTCATGAGAATTTTATCACTTAGGGGTCGTTTGCAAATTATGTCATGCAAAAAAATGACCCCTCCCCCTGTCACAAAGTATCACACACTTTTTACCCCTCCCCCAGCCCCCTTAGTGTCACATCACACCAAAAAAAAATCAAAACATACATCAAATTTTCATAACTAAACTAAAATTTTAATTTATTCTTTAACAATTCCCATAATGTATTAGGGTGTTGTAGTATTATTATAAACTGTGACGTAAAACAACCAAGTCCTTATCACACTGATTGTCAAATGGGAACGACAGTTTTTGCACCATTTTTCATTATGCGCAGAAGGTGTGCGGGACTGAGGTTCACTTGACCTTTAATACCTGAGGTAATTTAGACCTCAAATTAATGTTTTCAATTTAATTGAAGATTTTTCAAAGTTAGAAAAATTAGATTTAAAAAAAAAGAATTGTGATTTTTTTAACCCCCCACCCCCGGTCACAAAGTGTCACAAATCTTGACACCCAAAAAAAATATTTGTGTTTTTTCTCCCCCCCCCCCCCCTCCCCCAAGGGTCAAAAAATTTTTCCCCCCCCCCCCCCCCCCTCCTCCCGCCTGAGACATAATTTGTGAACAACCATTTATGTGGGAATCATTTTATTTCACCCCAAGGGGTTGTAGTGCCTATTTCAAGAACCACTGCTTGAAATAGTTCTTGAGGAACTAAAACTTTGCATTTTTAGAAATGATTAAGATTAGAGAATAATCTGCCATAATCTGTCCTACTTGCTTTTCTCGCTGTTCCCCAGGAATGCCATAATCTGTCATACAAGTCTTCCTACCTGTATTTGAGAGGAATGTTCCATGCAGCAGAAGGCAATATTGAGGCTGCTCTAGATGACCTGTTGAGTTTACATTCTAGCAATGCAAGACTTCTCCCAACAGAGTGAGTTTTATTGATGGGCATCTCATTTTTCATTTTTAAAATTAAAAAATTTTTTTGTTTTAAAAACATATGTCAGTTGTTCTCATTGATATAAAGCTTGCACCCCTAAAGTGAGTAGGTCTACATATATATCGCAATGTGTAGTTTGCTAAGGCTCTATGCTCAATGAGTCCTATGTGTATTTTGCTAAGGCTCTATGCTCAAAGAGTCCTATGTATCTCCATCAGCAGGCAACAAACAACCTTTTCTTGATTTTTTCAGATAATTTTAAGACTGATTTAGTAAGAAATGGCTTTGTCAGATAATTTTAAGACTTATAAGAAATGGTTTTGTTTGATGATTTAAAGTCTGATTAGTAATAAATGGTTTTGTTTGATGATTTAAAGTCTGATTAGTAATAAATGGTTTTGTTTGATGATTTAAAGTCTGATTAGTAATAAATGGTTTTGTTTGATGATTTAAAGTCTGATTAGTAATAAATGGTTTTGTTTGATGATTTAAAGTCTGATTAGTAAGAAATTGTTTTGTTTGATGATTTAAAGTCTGATTAGTAAGAAATTGTTTTGTTTGATGATTTAAAGTCTGATTAGTAAGAAATTGTTTTGTTTGATGATTTAAAGTCTGATTAGTAAGAAATTGTTTTGTTTGATGATTTAAAATCTGATTATAAGAAATGTTTTTGTCAGATAATTTAAAGACTGATTAGTAAGAAATTTCTTCCTTCTTACAGTCTTGTTCGTAAACTGATGCAGTTGATTCCAGAAGTGGAACGAGACAACATGTTGAAAAAGAAAGGTGTTCAACACCTCACTGTCCTGGCTCAGGATCTGGACCATGAGAAACCTGGCCAGAGGCGACCCCTGGTGGACAAAATTCCAATACCAGATTCAGATCTTAGTATGTGTTCAATACCAGATGCAGATCAATATCTTAGTTCAATATGAGATTCAGAGCTAAATATGTGTTCAATATCAGATTTAGATCTAAGTACAGATTTAGATCTGTAGCATGTGTTTATTACCAGATTCTGATCGAAGTATGTGTTTTTTATCAGATTCAGATCTAAGTATGTTTTTAATACCAGATGCAGATCTAAGTATGTGTTGAATAACATATTCTTATCTAAGTATGTGTTTAATACCAGATTTCTGATCTAATTATGTGTTAAATACCAGATTCTAATCTAAGTATGTGTTTATTACCAGATTCTGATCTAAATATGTCTTCAATACGAAGTAGTGATAAACTGTTACGTTCATGAACTATAAGGCAGATTCTAGCATCTAGTGATACACTGTTACGTTCATGAACTATAAGGCGAATTCTAGCATCTAGTGATACACTGTTATGTTCTTGAACTATAAGGCGAATTCTAGCATCTAGTGATACACTGTTATGTTCATGAACTATAAGGCAGATTCTAGCATCTAGTGATACACTGTTACGTTCATGAACTATAAGGCAGATTCTAGCATGTAGTGATACACTGTTACGTTCTTGAACTATAAGGCGAATTCTAACATCTAGTGATACACTGTTATGTTCATGAACTATAAGGCAGATTCTAGCATCTAGTGATACACTGTTATGTTCATGAACTATAAGGCAGATTCTAGCATCTAGTGATACACTGTTATGTTCATGAACTATAAGGCAGATTCTAGCATCTAGTGATACACTGTTACATTCATGAACTATAAGGCAGATTCTAGCATCTAGTGATACACTGTTATGTTCATGAACTATAAGGCAGATTCTAGCATCTAGTGATACACTGTTACATTCATGAACTATAAGGCAGATTCTAGCATCTAGTGATACACTGTTATGTTCATGAACTATAAGGCAGATTCTAGCATCTAGTGATACACTGTTACATTCATGAACTATAAGGCAGATTCTAGCATCTAGTGATACACTGTTACGTTCATGAACTATAAGGCATATTCTAGCATCTAGTGATACACTGTTACGTTCATGAACTATAAGGCAGATTCTAGCATCTAGTGATACACTGTTACATTCATGAACTATAAGGCAGATTCTAGCATCTAGTGATACACTGTTACGTTCATGAACTATAAGGCAGATTCTAGCATCTAGTGATACACTGTTACGTTCATGAACTATAAGGCAGATTCTAGCATCTAGTGATACACTGTTACGTTCATGAACTATGAGGCGAATTCTAGCATCTAGTGATACACTGTTACGTTCATGAACTATAAGGCAGATTCTAGCATCTAGTGATACACTGTTATGTTCATGAACTATAAGGCAGATTCTAGCATCTAGTGATACACTGTTACGTTCATGAACTATAGGGCAGAGTCTAGCATCTAGTGATACACTGTTACGTTCATGAACTATAAGGTAGATTCTAGCATCTAGTGATACACTGTTACGTTCATGAACTATAAGGCAGATTCTAGCATCTAGTGATACACTGTAATGTTCATGAACTACAAGGTAGAGCCTAGCATCTTGTGATAAACTTGCTGATATTGATGAACTTTTTCTCTTCTCAGGTCTGGAAGATTTTGTAGAAACAGTTTCTTTACTGGAGATGGCTACAGACTATGACACTATACAGAGACTCTTCCTTACTTTGGCACAGCCACACACACTGACACGTATGTATGACACTATACAGAGACTCTTCCTGACATTGGCACAGCCACACACACTGACACTTATGTATGACACTTGGCACAGCCACACACACTGACACATATATATGATGCTTGGCACAGCCACACACACGGACACATATGAATGACACTATACAGAGACTCTTCCTGACGTTGGCACAGCCACACACAATGACGCTTATGTATGACACTTGGCACAGCCACACACACTAACACACAATATATGACAGTTGGCAAAGACACACCCGCTGACACATGTATGACAATTGGCACAGACACACACACTGACGCTTATGACACTTGGCACAGCCACACACACTAACACACATGTATGACAATCGGCACAGCCACACACACTAATGCATATGTATGACAGTTAGCTTAGCCACATATACTGACATGTGTGTATGGTACATTTGCACACCCACACATGCTGACACATATGTATGGTACAAAGAACATACCTGACATCAACAAATATACAGTATTTAATACAGTGTTGCACCAATGCATTTTAATAGACCTGTAATTATGTTTGTCATTTCTAACCAACAGATGTTGAAAAGTATACCTTTGATTATGTTTGTCATGTCTAACCGACAGATGTTGAAAAGTATACCTTTGAGGTTCTTAAGCTGTGTTATGAAGAGAACCAGGTGCAGTGTGAGGCCTTGACCTTGCCCGATGAATGTCTACAGACCAATGAAATAGTGCTAAGAGTTTCCAACCTTATTAAGACAGACTTTGGTATGGGAAGGATTGTATTGACAGACAAACGGTGAGTGGTAAGGCTTGCGAATGGGAAGGATTGTATTGACAGACAAATGTTGAGTGGTAAGACTTGGGTAAGACTTGGGTATGGGAAGGATGGTATTGGCAGACAAACGGTGAGTGGTAAGACTTTGATATGGAAGGATTTTATTGACAGACAAACGGTGAATGGTAAGACTTTGATATGGGAAGTAGAGACCGACCGAAAGTGATTTTCTGTTTTCGGCCGAAACCGAAAAAGGCCGAAAGTTAAAAATGAATTTCGTCCGAAGCCGAAACCGAAAATGAAATATTAAGATATTTTGAAATTCTTTCCCGCATACATTCTGCATACATCGAAAATGATGTGGGAAAGTATAAATATTTACATTCTTTTTATAAAAAATTAGATAATTGTGAATATTAATAAATAAACATCTAATTTAGGGGTCTTAAACTCGCGGCACGCGAGCCATTTGTGACCCGCAAGACGATATTTTGTGGCCCGCTACATGACAGAAAAGTTTAGTGTAAATGCGCCGGCCTGTTTCCCCCATTCTCATATCTATCACGTGACTCTCCGCGACGGTTTGAGTCGAATCTCACCGACTAGTCTAATTGTGATTTTTTTTTAAAAATGTTTCTATATATTTTTTTATGCCAGGTCTCTGGCAACAGTGAGTAGTTCTTGAGAACCCTTAATGATTTTATTGTTATTTATAAAGGTTGAGCAGATTGTAACAGTTGTAATCGCTTTTTGTGGATTACTTGATGCAGCCCACTCTCATTCAGACACTACCTCCTGCGCCCCCCCCTGATGATTTGAGTTTGAGACCCTTGATCTAATGAATACTTTGGATTTTACCATTTTAATATAAAAGTAATTTAAATTGCTTTACAATTTTTTTTTTAAATTAGTATGGTAGGAGACAATTTGACAAAAATGGGGGGGTGGGGGAATTAATGCAAAATATAATTTTTTTAAACAGGGTCTCTAGAAAATGTGGTTCATAAAGATCGCTTAGTTTGTTGTTAAAAATCGTTTGGTTTGTTGTTAAAGATCGTTTAGTTTGTTGTTAAAGATCGTTTAGTTTGTTGTTAAAGATTGTTAAGTTTGTTTTTAAAGATCGCTTAGTTTGTTGTTAAAGATCGTTTAGTTTGTTGTTAAATATCACTTAGTTTGTTGTTAAAGATCCTTTAGTTTGTTGTAAAAGATCGTTTAGTTTATTGCTCAAGATCGCTTATTTTGTTCTTAAAGATAATTAATTTTGTTCCTTAAGATCAATTAGTTTGTTCTTAAAGATCTTTTAGTTTGTTCCTAAAGAACATTTAGTTTTCTGTCAAAGATCGCTTAGTTTATTTTAATAAATCATTTAGTTACTATTAAAGATCATTTGTTTTGTACTTAAAGATCATTTAGTTCGGTCTTAAAAATCGTTTAGTTTGTTCTTAAAGATCGCTTAGTTTGTTTTAAAGATCGCTTAATTTGTTCTTAAATGTCGCTTAGTTTGTTGTTAAATATCGCTTTTGCTGAGTATTAAATGACCGAAAACCTGAGTCACTTTCGGCCGGATGGCCGAAATTCTAAGTCAATTTCGGCCGAAACCGAAGAAACACCGAAAGTTAACTTTTCAGTTTCGGCCGAAACCGAAACTTGCCGAAAGTGATAAAATGACCACTTTTGGCGCCTAAACCAAAGCCGAAGCCGAAATTCGGTCAGTCTCTAATGGGAAGGATTGTATTGACAGACAAATGATGAGTGGTAAGACTTTGGTATGGGAAGGATTGTATTAACAGACAAACAGTAAGTTGTAAACTTACAATTTCTTTGTTACACATTGGATAAGGGATAGAGAGGGATAGATGGGTGTGCAGTTATTGATCAATATCTCGATTTATTTCTTTTGCCCCTTTAAGTCAAGAAAAGATTTGTTTAGAAATTTAAATGAAATAGCTAAACGAGGTTTTAAACACAAACTTCCGGCAACAGCAATGGATATTTCTTGAATTGTTTACTGTGCTCTGTTCCAAGTGATATTTTCATGTGTCCTGTGTGCTGAGGAAGGCTCTATGCGGAAACATTCTAATCTAATTGTTCTGTCCTTACATGCAAGCTTCCACAAACCTCGTTTTGCTATTTCATTTACTTAGCTTGAATGCAGTCCTTTAATTATTATATTTTAGAAATGTAGAAGATTTTTTAAAGTAGTATAATTAAAGTAGTAGAAATATAAAGAGTAAAATAAAGTAGTACATTTTTTTGGATGAATTTATAAATATTAGTCTTTCTTTTGTTAGGCTTTTCTTCATCAAAGATGTCAGCAACAGATACCGGGAAATAGTCAAGTTAAGGAATATTAGCAAGTTGGAAAAGCTGCAGATTCATTCTTTCTTAATGGCTGTAGATGTCTTGGTTATCACAGATACTGGTGAGAAAATCTGCATGTTCTATGTCTTGGTTATCACAGATACTGGTGAGAAAACCTTAATGTTCTATCATCAGCCTCGGCTTGAGCCAAGCAATATGTATTAATAAGGTATATTTTTATGATACATTAATATGATGTATTAATAAGTTATATTTTTCTGATACACTCTTCACTTCATAGCTATGATGATAGTTATACACAAGGAGTGTCACAATTCCAACAAGGCTGAGAGACCAGGAAACAAGTTGTTGGAGAGTGTCAGATAACTAAGATGTTGGAGAGTACGAGAGAACTAAGATGTTGGAGAGTGCCAGAAAACTAAGATGTTGGAGAGTGCCAGAAAACTAAGATGTTGGAGAGTGCCAGAAAACTAAGATGTTGGAGAGTGCCAGGAAACTAAGATGTTGGAGAGTACCAGAAAACTAAGATGTTAGAGAGTGCCAGAAAACTAAGATGTTGGAGAGTACAAGAGAACTGAGATGTTGGAGAGTACCAGAAAACTAAGATGTTTGAGTGCCAGAAAACTAAGATGTTGGAGAGTACCAGAGAACTAAGATGTTGAAGAGTTCCAGAAAACTAAGATGTTGGAGAGTGCCAGAGAACAAGATATCAGAAAGGGCCAGAGAAAAATATGTTGTGTACAATTTCCCCAACATTCTATAGTAATTCAATAGATATTTATCAACATAGTTTACATTGCACAAAGTCAACAAACATTTAATTTCAGTACACAAAACAAATTCATAAATACATTTTTAAAATGACAAGGATTGGAACCTATATATATATATTATTCAGGGTATCGGGCCTTTGTACAGGGCTTGGGCCTCTATACAGGGATTTAGGCCTTTGTACAAGACTTGGTCTTTGTACAGGTTTTTTGGTCTTTGTACAGGCTTTTGGTATTTGTACAGGCTTTGTGCCTGTATATAGATTTTTTTGTACAGTTTGAGTCTTTGTACGGGTAGAGAATCTGTGTACAGTGTAGTCAGACTTTGTACTGGGTAGAGGATCTGTGTATAGTGTAGTCAGACTTTGTACCAGGTAGAGAATCTGTGTACAGTGTAGTCAAACTTTGTACTGGGTAGAGAATCTGTGTATAGTGTAGTCAGACTTTGTACCAGGTAGAGAATCTGTGTACAGTGTAGTCAGACTTTGTACTGGGTAGAGGATCTGTGTATAGTGTAGTCAGACGTTGTACCAGGTAGAGAATCTGTGTACAGTGTAGTCAAACTTTGTACTGGGTAGAGAATCTGTGTATAGTGTGGTCAGACTTTGTACCAGGTAGAGAATCTGTGTACAGTGTAGTCAGACTTTGTACTGGGTAGAGAATCTGTGTATAGTGTAGTCAGACTTTGTACCAGGTAGAGAATCTGTGTACAGTGTAGTCAGACTTTGTACTGGGTAGAGAATCTGTGTATAGTGTAGTCAGACTTTGTACCAGGTAGAGAATATGTGTACAGTGTAGACAGACTTTGTACTGGGTAGAGAATCTGTGTATAGTGTAGTCAGACTTTGTACCAGGTAGAGAATCTGTGTACAGTGTAGTCAGACTTTGTACCAGGTAGAGAATCTGTGTACAGTGTAGTCAGACTTTGTACCAGGTAGAGAATCTGTGTACAGTGTAGTCAGACTTTGTACCAGGTAGAGAATCTGTGTACAGTGTAGTCAGACTTTGTACCAGGTAGAGAATCTGTGTACAGTGTAGTCAGACTTTGTACCAAGTTTTTGATCTTTTCGCAGGGTTTTAATGTTTAATTTCTTGATGAATGTAAAGCTTACCTTAATACTTGAATTCAGGCAAGAACATTGACAAATTAAAAATTGACATTAGAGACATTGTCATAATGACATTTCTCTTCCCAGATAAAGAGAGAGTAAAAAGAACGATTGACAATATAGACATTTCTCTTGTCAGATAAAGATATATTAAAAAAAGCCATTGACAATGGAGACATTTCTCTTGTCAGATAAAGATAAATTAAAAATAGCCATTGACAATGGAGACATTTCTCTTGTCAGATAAAGATATATTAAAAATAGCCATTGACAATGGAGACATTTCTCTTGTCAGATAAAGAGATATTGAAAATAGCCATTGACAATAGAGACATTGACATAGAGATATTTACATTATTTACAATGCAGCTATTGACAATAGAGTCATTTACAAAGAACCATTGACATTATTGACAATGGAGCTGTTGACAACAGAGTCATTTCTCTTCCCAGATAATAAATCAAAGTTTACCGCTTGGCTCAAAGATGAAAGAAATTGCTGGGCAATCATCATAGATGAGATGAGGGCAGGTAAAATTGTGGCGGAGGCAACCAAGGATTACACAGCCATCAACCAGGCCATACAGAATGTCTTGCTGGTGGATGCCGTCATACGCAGGTCAGTCTAGCAGGCCCTGGTTACTCAGGCTATACAGAATGTCTTGCTGGTGGATGCCGTCATACGCAGGTCAGTCTAGCAGGCCCTGGTTACTCAGGCTATACAGAATGTCTTAGTGGTCGATGACATCATAAGCAGGTCAGTCTAGCAGGCCATGGCTACTCAGGCTATACAGAATGTCTTAGTGGTGGATGAATTCATAAGCAGGTCAATCTAGCAGGCCCTGGTTACTCAGGTAATACAATATGTCTTAATGGTGGAAGCCATCTTAAGCAGGTCAGTCTAGCAGAACATGATTACTCAGGTTATACAGAATGTGTTTCATAGGAAGGTAAGTGTATGCAAGAAGATATGCATTGATTAACCAGGCTATATACAATTTTCTGAACCACAATATCATTTGATGCCAAGTATTAGATCATTTGATGCCAAGTATTAAGATCATTTTATGCCAAGTATTAAGATCATTTGATGCCAAGTATTAAGATCATTTGATGCCAAGTATTAAGATCATTTGATGTCAAGTATTAAGATCATTTGATGCCAGGTATTAAGATCATTTGATGCCAGGTATTAAGATCATTTGATGCCAAGTATTAAGATCATTGATGCCAAGTATTAAGATCATTTGATGCCAAGTATTAAGATCATTTGATGCCAAGTATTAAGATCATTTGTTGTTAAGTATTAAGATCATTTTGTATTACAAACAATGTGTCTACATCAGGGAAGGACAACCCAAATTGCGTTCACTAATTGATAAGACTAGTGTTTATCGAGTTAGATTAATGTTGATTAACTGATTTAGGTTAATGTTGATTAATTCATTTAGAGGAATGATGATTGCTATAGATCTTATCTTTGTCCTACACTTAGTGGCCGAGATGAACGCACCACACACCACGCTCATGTGGCTCATGTGGCAGAGACTTTGTGCTACTTTACAAACTACATGTCTGAAGGTCGACACAATCTGCCCCCAGACACTGTAGCAGCTCTACAGCATCGAGTTGACCCCAATGTTGGCCAGAGAGAACGGAGAACGGTGGAGGTCCTCCTCTATACCCCTGGGTGTAAGTGAGGGTTGATTAGTATTTGTTAGCTTGATTATACAAAAAACCAATTGTATGTTGTGACGTTGAAACCCACTAGGTCAGAGTTCAAGCTAATAGATAATAAGTTGATTTGCAAAGCCACTAGGTCAGAGATCAAGCTAATTGATAATAAGTTGATTTGCAAAGCCACTAAGTTAGAGTTCAAGCTAATAGATAATAAGTTGATTTTCACACCCACTAGGTCAGAGTTCAGACTCACAGAACAGCATACCTCCGAGACTTTGGTGTGGAATGGGAGATGGGAAAGTGCGGGTGTTTGATGCCACCAACTGGGTTCTTGAACGCAGCTTCGTACAGATCAAAAACACAGTGGTAGGAGATTGAGTCTAACTTGTCTCTTTCCTGAGCCTCTTTTTGATCCTTGGTCTCCACATCAGTGGTAGGAGATTGAGTCTAACGTCTCTCTTTCCTAAGCCTCTTTTTGATCCTTGGTCTCCACATTCTATCTATCATTTCCTTGCCATCCTAGACTCCCACATGATCATGTCTTGTGTATCTCTGCATGTCTAGTTTGTCCAACAAACATGTCTTGTGTATCTCTGCATGTCTAGTTTGTCCAACAAACATGTCTTGTGTATCTCTGCATGTCTAGTTTGTCCAACAAACATGTCTTGTGTATCTCTGCATGTCTAGTTTGTCCAACAAACATGGCTTTACTTGTATTTCTCTCCAACAATCATGGCTTTACTTGTATTTCTCCATGTCTAATTTGTCGAACAATCATGGCTTTACTTGTATCTCTCCATGTCTAGTCTGTCCTACAATCATGGCTTTACTTGTATTTCTCTGAATGTCTAGTCTGTTTAACAATCATGGCTTTTCTTGTATTTCTCCATGTCTAGTCTGTCTAACAATCATGGCTTTTCTTGTATTTCTCCATGTCTAGTCTGTCTAACAATCATGGCTTTTCTTGTATTTCTCCATGTCTAGTCTGTCCAACAATCATGGCTTTACTTGTATCTCTCCATGTCTAGTCTGTCCACCAATCATGGCCTTACTTGTATCTCTCCATGTCTAGTCTGTCCACCAATCATGGCTTTACTTGTATCTCTCCATGTCTAGTCTGCCCTGTTGGCTGTAGGGGAGGCCACTGTTTGGGCAGGTTCCCACGGCATCTACATCATTGACACAGAAACCATCAGTTGTAACAAGACCCTCACAGAACATACAGAGTTTGTTACAGACATAGCATTATCTAAGGATGGGAGGTAATTTATTTTTATCACGAATGGGAGGCAATATCTCTTCACCATAATAGAAGGTAAAATAATTTTCATGCCAATGAGACTTAATATTTTATTTCTTACTGTTTTAGAGGTAATGTTTCACTGCTAAAAGGTAATGACTCAAGAGGTTATTTTAATAAGAGATGATGGTTAACCCATGAACTGTGTCATAGATCATTCTGTAGTGTGGCAGCTTTCTCAGAGCTTTTTGTCTGCTCTTAGAAATAGCATTAACTCTTTCGCTGGGGAATTTTTTAATCCAAAAAATGTTCATTTTTTTCAAATAGCAAAAAAGAGTGAGAGGGGGGGTTTATTAAAAAATAAATAAAATATTTTATTTTGGTTTATTAGACTAAACTTAGGATCAAATGAAAGATAATTGAATGAACCATATGTTTGTAAGCTTATTTCTTCAGTTTAATAAAAATATGTAATAGAAAAGAACCATAAAATGTTTCACATTTTATGCTAAACCATTTTTACCTCAAACCCTGTGATGTACGCATATCTATTTATTTCACTTCCATAACTCAAATCCTCTAACCCTAACCACTATGAGAATCATGGGATGGATCTAAATATCAATCACCTTTACTATCAAAAGAAATAGTATACAAAAATTCCAAAGCTTTTTGAGCTGTTAATCGTCTAGGAAATCTACTCACCTACTAGGGCCTCGGGTAGCCATAGCAGCAATAGGAAAAAAAGCGAAGAAAATGGTTAAAATAATGCTTCAAATTTCAACAAATAAACCTTGGTTTCGCTTAAAAATAATATACTACCATTCTTCTATGTAAAAGTCTTATTTAAAAATAGCTCTTAAAAAGTTTAATCCAGAAATAGCAAAGAAACAAACATGATATTGAAACAACCCACAGTGCGTTGGTCCATGCTTTTTAGAACGGCACACTGTGCATCGTTCCACAGCAAAAGAGTTAAATGACATAGAAATATTGATAAAAGACCCCACTAAGTATATATATATTTTTAGAAAGGTAAATGCATGGGGATAAAATTAGTTATATTGCCCACCCGTAAAAAAAAAAATGTTTTCAGTGTCCTTGACCTTGGAGTGCTCGAGAAAAAAAAATTGACGAAATATCTTGCTTTCAAGTGCTTATAACATCATTAATTTTTATAGATTCCATTAAAATCCTATACAAATGTGGTAGCCAATTCATTTTATCTTTCAGAAAATGTATAGATTGCTAAGGATTTGATTACAATTAAGCCTCTGAAAGCAATTTTTAGTGATTTTAGTATTTTAGGTCATTTATTACTAGAAAAAAAAATTAACTGGCACCACAGCTAAAACCAAGTACAACATACAAATTCTCAGGCAAAAAAGTTATTATTGACAAGTAAACATTTAAAAAGGAACTGTGGAACTGATTTGGGTTGTTTAACTATAAAATTAATTATTTCAGATCTATAATCTATTCTCCTGTGACTAAAATTCAGTCAATCCTTGCCCAACTTCCGCGCCTGGCTTGAAGTCTAACAGTTGGCCTACTTCAGCATCACTAAGACTAGTATCAGATTCACTAGAAGAAGAATCCGAACTGAGATCGTCATGGGGCATATTAAAATCAACATCAGTATCACTTAAATCCTCTCTTTAAAAAATATTTCTATCAGTTTCTACTGAAGGCCCAGCCATAGCTTCAGCCATTTTAGCTTTATAAAAAACAGCGATTTCCATTAAAAAGTACTTATTGTTAAGTTATCAACAAACAGTTGGACCAGGAAGATGATTTAATATGATTAATAAAAGGAAGTGGCTATAATTCCTGTTAAATATTGGATTGGAAGTTGCTATCAGAGCGTGTTTTTTATCGGCCAATTATTTCGGCTGCCACAGTACAGAACCAGAATGTCGGCCAATTTTTTCGTCCGACTACTGTTGGTGGGTTAAAGTATCAATGTACTATTGTTCCCAATGTTGTTTGTTATGTTTTAGACATAAGAACAGTATTTGTTATGTTTCAGACATGGGAACAGTATATTTTTATGTTTCAGACATGGGAACAGTATTTGTTATGTTTCAGACATGGTAACAGTATATTTTTATGTTTCAGACATGGGAACAGTGTTTGTTATGTTTCAGACATGGGAACAATATTTGTTAAATTGTTTCAGACATGGGAACAGTATATTTTTATGTTTCAGACATGGGAACAGTATTTGTTATGTTTCAGACATGGGAACAGTATTTGATATGTTTCAGACATGGGAACAGTATTTGTTATGTTTCAGACATGGGAACAGTATATTTTTATGTTTCAGACATGGGAACAGTGTTTGTTATGTTTCAGACATGGGAACAGTATCCGTTAATTTGTTTTAGACATAAGAACAGTATTTGTTATGTTTCAGACATGGTAACAGTATATTTTTATGTTTCAGACATGGGAACAGTATTTGTTATGTTTCAGACATGGTAACAGTATTTGATATGTTTCAGACATGGGAACAGTATTTGTTATGTTTCAGACATGGGAACAATATTTGTTAAATTGTTTCAGACATGCATACAGTTCCAGTGTAGATGGCACCATAATCAAGTGGGAGGTTCAGACATTGAGAAGAGTTCGACGTATTCGTCTGCCAGATACCAGGAGCCTGCGATCTATCAAACTTTATAACAATAAGCTGTGGTGCGGTAGGTGCCCTGGATCTTTTTAAATTTATAACAATAAGCTGTGGTGTGGTAGGTGCCCGAGATCTATCAAACTTTGTAACAATAAGCTGTGGTGTGGTAGGTGCCTGGGATCTATCAAACTTTGTAACAATAAGCTGTGGTGTGGTAAATTGACATTTAGTTAGATTTTTCTTTCTTTATTATGTTTTTAGATAGCATATTGTTACGTTATAGATATGGGAACAGTTTGACTTTTGATAGCATATTGTTAGATTATAGACATAGGAACAGTTTGACTTTAGATAGCATATCGTTACGTTATAGAAATGGGAACAGTTTGACTTTAGATAGCATATTTAGCCCAATTTTCAACCCTTGCAAAGTTGGCTGCTATTTTAAGACTTTGAAAATTGAATTATTCTACTAAGTGTTTACATTACTCTTCTGATAGCTACATTACTCTTCTGATAGCTACATTACTCTTCTGATAGCTACATTACTCTTCTGATAGCTACATTACTCTTTTGATAGCTACATTATCTTCTGATAGCTACATTACTCTTCTGATAGCTACATTACTCTTCTGATAGCTACATTACTCTTCTGATAGCTACATTACTCTTCTTATAGCTACATTACTCTTCTGATAGCTACATTACTCTTCTGATAGCTACATTACTCTTCTGATAGCTACATTACTCTTCTGATAGCTACATTACTCTTCTGATAGCTACATTACTCTTCTTATAGCTACATTACTCTTCTGATAGCTACATTACTCTTCTGGTAGCTACATTAATCATCTGATAGCTACATTACTCTTCTGATAGCTACATTACTCTTCTCACTTACTTACTTTCTTATGCCTTTTTACCCGCCTGGGGCATGCATAGGCCGTCCACAAGAATTTTCCACTCATCACGGTCCTGTGCTTTCCTTTGTAATTGCTTCCAGGTGTATACCATATTGCGTGTCTGCCTCTAGCTCACGTCTCCACATATTCTTAGGCCTTCCCCTCTCTTTTTCCCTGTGGGTTCCATGTTAGGCATTGTCTGGTGGTGCTGTCTGGGTTTTTTCGGAGCGTATGCCCTATCCACCTCCATCTTTTCTTTATGATATCTTCATCAATGGGCACCTGGTATGTCCTTTATTGTAGATATTTGTTGGTGATGATATTTAGCTATTTGATGTTCAGGATTTTTCTAAGGCATGTGTTTATGAATGTCTGCACTTTCTGCGTAATGCTCGCTGTTGTTCTCCAAGTTTCTTCTAACTTTCTTCTTTCTTCTTACATCACTCTTCTGATAGCAAAATAAGGTTGACTTCCATTACATCAATCTTCTGATAGCAGAATAAGGTTGACTTCCATTGTATTTTAATTCGCCAATAGCTGCATAGGGTAGACTTCCATTTTACATTATTATTAGTCTGCCAATAGCTGAATAAGATAGACTTCCATTTTAAATTAGTCTGCCATTAGCTGCATAGGGTAGATTTCCATTTCAAATAAGACTGCCAATAGCTGAATAGGGTAGACTTCTTTTTCAAATTATTCTGCCAATAGCTGAATAAGATAGACTTCCATTTTACATTTGCCAATTGCTGAATATGGTAGACTTCCATGTTACACTAGTCTTCCAATAGCTGAATAGGGTAGACCTCTATGTTGCATTAGTTTGCCAATAGCTAAATAAGGTAGACTTCCATGTTACATTAGTCTGCCAATAGCTGAGTAGGGAGACTTCCATGTTATATTAGTCTGCCAATAGCTTAATAAGGTAGACTTCCATGTTACATTAGTCTGCCAATAGCTGAGTAGGGAGACTTCCATGTTATATTAGTCTGCCAATAGCTTAATAAGGTCGACTTCCATGTTATGTTAGTCTGCCAATAGCTTAATAAGGTAGACTTCCATGTTATGTTAGTCTGCCAATAGCTTAATAAGGTAGACTTCCATGTTATATTAGTCTGCCAATAGCTTAATAAGGTAGACTTCCATGTTATAATAGTCTGCCAATAGCTTAATAAGTTAGACTTCCATGTTATATTAGTCTGCCAATAGCTTAATAAGGTAGACTTCCATGTTATATTAGTCTGCCAATAGCTTAATAAGGTAGACTTCCATGTTATAATAGTCTGCCAATAGCTTAATAAGGTACACTTCCATGTTATATTAGTCTGCCAATAGCTTAATAAGGTAGACTTCCATGTTATATTAGTCTGCAGATGGCCAAATAGGGTTGACTTCCAGATAAATCCAAACTCAAACCTACTACTTTCTGGTTATGAGAATGAGGATAGGGTACTACATTTATGACAGGCCACCTCCCTGTACTACATTTATGACAGGCCACCTCCCTGTACTACATTTATGACAGGCCACCTCCCTGTACTACATTTATGACAGGCCACCTCCCTGTACTACATTTATGACAGGCCACCTCCCTGTACTACATTTATGACAGGCCACCTCCCTGCACTACATTTATGACAGGCCACCTCCCTGTACTACATTTACGACAGGCCACCTCCCTGTACTACATTTATGACAGGCCACCTCCCTGTACTACATTTATGACAGGCCACCTCCCTGCACTACATTTATGACAGGCCACCTCCCTGTACTACATTTATGACAGGCCACCTCCCTGTACTACATTTATGACAGGCCACCTCCCTGTACTACATTTATGACAGGCCACCTCCCTGTACTACATTTATGACAGGCCACCTCCCTGCACTACATTTATGACAGGCCACCTCCCTGTACTACATTTACGACAGGCCACCTCCCTGTACTACATTTATGACAGGCCACCTCCCTGTACTACATTTATGACAGGCCACCTCCCTGTACTACATTTATGACAGGCCACCTCCCTGTACTACATTTATGACAGGCCACCTCCCTGTACTACATTTATGACAGGCCACCTCCCTGCACTACATTTATGACAGGCCACCTCCCTGTACTACATTTACGACAGGCCACCTCCCTGTACTACATTTATGACAGGCCACCTCCCTGTACTACATTTATGACAGGCCACCTCCCTGTACTACATTTATGACAGGCCACCTCCCTGTACTACATTTATGACAGGCCACACCTCCCTGTACTACATTTATGACAGGCCACCTCCCTGCACTACATTTATGACAGGCCACCTCCCTGTACTACATTTAGGACAGGCCACCTCCATGCACTACATTTATGACAGGCTACCTTCCTGTACTGCATTTATGACTGGCCACCTCCCACATAGCAATAAAGCCATGAATACGCTACTCAGGTACTTGGCGCAATATTGCTGTACTAGATGACAACGGTTCCCAGCTGCAGACCTTCACCTACACAGATACAGACACAGGCAAGCAAGTAGATCTGGACTGCTTTGAGATATTCAATGATGAGGTAAGATTGACTAGATTAATTTTATTGTGGTCTACTGATAAAAAATAGCGGTCTACTGGTAAAATGTGGTGGTCCTCTGTTATTTCATTCCATGTACAACACGAGTATATCAAATGTTTTGTGTAACAACATAGATATCAAATATTTTTAAATCTATAGTTTGATATTACAACATTGATATCAAATATGATTAAAACTGTAGTTTTGTCTTACAACATAGATATCAAATATGATTAAAACTACAGTTTTGTCTTACAACACAGATATCAAATATGATTAAAACTATAGTTTTGTCTTACAAAATAGATATCAAATAAAGTAAAATCTATAGTTTTGTCTTACAAGATAGATATGAACTATGATTAAATCTATAGTTTGGTCTAACAACATAAATATCAATGCTTAAATCAATTATTTTGACATTTGATCAGATATGGGCTGGCTGCCGACGTATTGGACGTGTCATTGTATGGGATGAAAAAACAACATTATTAAAACATGTCATCACAACAGATTGTAGAGGGATCGGCTGTATTCTTGAGTTTGGTGACAAGGTGGGTAAAAGCTAGCTCTACTGTTGATCCATGGAATTGGCTGTATTCTTGAGTTTGGTGACAAGGTGGGTACAAGCTGGCTCTAATGTTGATCCATGGAATTGGTCATATTCTTGAGTTTGGTGACAAGGTGGGTACAAGCTGGCTCTACTGTTGATCCATGGAATTGGTCATATTCTTGAGTTTGGTGACAAGGTGGGTACAAGCTGGCTCTAATGTTGATCCATGGAATTGGTCATATTCTTGAGTTTGGTGACAAGGTGGGTACAAGCTGGCTCTACTGTTGATCCATGGTAAGGGTCCTGTAATGTCGTGGTAAGTAGCATATATATTTTTTGATCATCTTGAGTGAAATGAGACTAAGAATGAGAGTGGATGAGAACATAAATAAAATAAAGTGAACGATTATAAACTAAGGAGAGCGTAATTGTAATCGTCATTCTTGTATTTGAAAGGAACCATCAATGAATATTGTTTTTGTTCGTTTACTGTGCCAATAAAAAGTGTTGTACAGGAATTCATATTTTCATTGAGAGAGGTGAGGAGCGCACATGTGAGCCGTGTGTGATGGATGGAGTCCCTAATAGTCTTATTGAAATAGGAATAAGAGAGTGATCATAACAGCACCATGTATTCACCAAAATCCACAGGAGTTACAATTACTATCATAAGTTAATCAGCTGATAGGATTTAGACTAAAACTCCATCAGTTACAGGTCCAATATCATTATGTTAATGTCTTATTGCTCTATCAATATGTCAAAGTGTTATTGCTCTATCATATCAATGTGTTATTGCTCTATCATTATGTTATTGTTCTATCAACATTATTGCTTTATCAATGTGTTATTGCTCAATCAAAGTGTTATTGCTCTATCAGTGTTATTGCTCTATCAAAGTGTTATTGCTCTATCAATGTGTTATTGTTCTACCAATGTGTTATTGCAGGTCTGGGTAGCCACTAAAGATGGTAAGATCTATGTGTATTATACTGCCAGCAAACAGTTGTGGAAGACAATCAAAGCTCATGATGATGCCATCCGCTCACTGTGTGCCGCTGAATATAGATACATCATGTCAGGTAAACATCACTGTGCCGCTGAATATAGATACATCATGTCAGGTAAACATCACTGTGCCACTGAATATAGATACATCATGTCAGGTAAACATCGCTGTGCCGCTGAATATAGATACATCATGTCAGGTAAACGTCACTGTGCCACTGAATATAGATACATCATGTCAGGTAAACATCACTGTGCCACTGAATATAGATACATCATGTCAGGTAAACGTCACTGTGCCACTAAATATAGATACATCATGTCAGGTAAACGTCACTGTGCCACTAAATATAGATACATCATGTCAGGTAAACGTCACTGTGTCACTAAATATAGATACATCATGTCAGGTGAACGTCACTGTGTCGCTAAATATCAATACTTCATGTCAGGTGAACGTCACTGTGTGCTACTATGAGGGACATAACTCCTTTGCTAAAATGTTAGTTATTTTTCACAAAAGAATTGATATCTTAAACTTAAACTTGCAAAGTCGTTATTATTTAAATTTGAATGAAATATTCAATCTGAATCTATTTTAATTGATAAATAACTTGATCATTTTGATATTTAAAATTTAGCATTTGGTAACTGTAGCCAGCAGGTAGTATTATCTACATATGGAACAGTATAGATTAGTATAGTCGCTAACAGATATATACCAATATTAATATTACTCTCTACATTAACTTTAAAAAATTCTCTGCATCCATCTTTTCCATCGTGTTAGTTAGTTTTAATCTAGTCTTGAGCTTAGAAACCATGCTGAACTTTAGTAACTTTTAAACCAAAGTAAAAACATAAAGATTTCTTCTTTAAAAAGATAGCAACCTTCTCGTGAGAGCAGCAGTGAACTTGATCACAAGGAATTTAATGTATTGTCTAGTAGTTTATAGGTGTCCCAAACGAGTGTCATGTGACACCTGCCTGATGTGCCACTGCTTGGCTTAGTAAGCAGGGGTTAGTGGGAATTTATGAGGCAATGGCAGGTGCTAATGGCAGCAGAGGGTTAGATCAGATGAAGGTTTTGGTCAATTGTTATTCAAGCCAGGGCCACACAATTAATAGATCAAAACATTATCTCCTAGCAATATATTGTGAGTGATCACAACATAATTAATTGATAGAGATATTTACTTGATTATATGGGATCAAATGTTTGGTTGTCTTGGTGATTGTTGTCTGTTTAAACTGTCTGTCTACAGGGGCTGGATCAAATGTTTGGTTGTCTTGGTGATTGTCTGTCTAAACTGTCTGTCTACAGGGGCTGTATCAAATGTTTGGTTGTCTTGGTGATTGTTGTCTGTCTAAACTGGCTGTCTACAGGGGCTGGATCAAATGTTTGGTTGTCTTGGTGATTGTTGTCTGTTTAAACTGTCTGTCTACAGGGGCTGGATCAAATGTTTGGTTGTCTTGGTGATTGTTGTCTGTCTAAACTGTCTGTCTACAGGGGCTGGATCAAATGTTTGGTTGTCTTGGTGATTGTTGTCTGTTTAAACTGTCTGTCTACAGGGGCTGGATCAAAAGATGGAAAAGTTGCAATTTGGAGCCCTAATGTTGAGCTCCATGACTCAGAAACAGCAAAGAGATAAGCAGAGACAGCCGTGAGAGAAGCAGAGACAGCCTAGAGACATGCAGAGACAGCCAAGAGATAAGCAGATAAAGTGAAGACATTAGCAGAGACAGCCAAGAGACAAGCCAACATTAGTTGTTATATCACTCACCTACCATTAATTGTTAATATCACTCACCGTACATTAATTGTTATATCACTCACCAAACATTAGTTGTAATATCACTCACCTACCACTAATTGTTATATCACTGACCCACCATTAATTGTAATATCACTCACCCAACATTAATTGTTATATCACACACCAACCAATAAATAGTTATATCACTCACCTACCATTAATTGTTATATCACTCATCCACCATTTATTGTAATATCACTCACCCAATATTAGTTGTTATATTACTCACCCAACATTGATGTATCACTCACTCAACATTAATTGTTATATCACTTAACCAACATTAATTGTTACATTAGTCACCCAACATCAATTGTTATATCATTTAAGCTTGTTATTTTTATTGAACAGATCATTTATGTGATAGTGATATATTTGTAGATATTCATAGATATTGGTGCGGATATTTTAGTAACTCATTCCTTACGGCAGTGCTACTTCCGTACTTAATGTATATGCCTAAGAAAGGCAAGTAACTCGGTTTTGCAGTTGATTTCCATTTGTAAAATATTTGCTTAAGCTGCTAAATATTAATTATTGTTAATGAATTAAGGACAGATGCATCCAAAAATGAATAAGGTTTAATAACAAAAATATTAAAGGTGAGAAAATAACGAACAAAGACCAAATTTTTTGGCACCTCCGACGAACACATGGTACATATAGTTGCACCATACTAAAGCACACACAGATAGAAAATGAAACAAGATAAAAACTTCCGGTTTTTAAATTGAAATCACACAGAATCAGGCCATCGCAGAAATTCTCGAGATATGTGAGATTTCATTGATATTTTAAAATAAAAATGAGAGAAGTTTGTCACTATGTGCAGGTCTGAGGTATTGCAATGTTTTAATAACATTTTAAAAATTTTTCCTGTCAAACAAAAAATTTTTAAAATAATTTTTAATCAGACTACTTCCTGTGAAATTTTATAATATTTCTTACTGTGAAGTTTTGTTATTTTGCAACAAGAAATAGCTTGATTTCATTTTATTTCAACTATTTCTGAAATTGTAATTTAAACACAATTCAGTAATGCTGAAAGTTTGATGTATGTTTATAACAGTAGTATTACAATAGTTACTTTTAACTACACTTCTATGTCACTAGTTACTGAGGGAATATGCTTTATTTATTCCAAATGATGAACTAAAGGGAGAAATAAGTAAATACATCTCATGACACCCCAAGCAAAACAAAAAAAAGGCAATTCCTCTAGTCCCAAATCCAAATGAAGATCTGGTCATCTTAATTTAAATGATGATCTAGTTCAAAGTTTGAATGGAGATATGCTTCTATCTCCAAATGTTGGTTTAAAAGGATAACCTGCATTTTGATTTGATTATGGCTAACCTGTGATTCCAGTTTGATGTGATTTAAATATTTTGTAAGCATTTTTTATATAAATGTTACTATTATAATAATTGTATCCATGGTTACAGCCCATGTGATAACTTAGCCTTGTCCAAAATAGAATGTTACTTGTCATGTGCATTCTTACTTCCAGATGTAATGTGTATATTTCATTTTTGTTGTTAAAATGTTATGCTTGATTTTGGTGCTTAAGTTATAATAATGATGTGTTCCTCAACTTTGGTCAAAGACCACAACTCAGTTTTTTTATTACATTATAAATTATAGCATTTTATTTTCTTTGACCCAGTTCCTGTTCAACAAAACAAATTGACATGTCCCTAGATACAGCTGGCCATGTGTGTCCCTAGATACAGATGGCCATGTATGTCCCTAGATACAGATGGCCATGTATGTCCCTAGATACAGCTGGCCATGTATGCCCAAAGATACAGATGGCCATGTATGTCCATGAATTCAGATGGCCATGTATGTCCCTAGATACAGATGGTTATGTATGTCCATAGCTAAAGATGGCCATGTATGCCCAAAGATACAGATAGCCATGAATGCCCAAAGATACAGATGGCCATGTTTTTTTTTCATATTGAGGGCTCACGATCAATTTATTGACCTTTTTGGCTCCTGGTTTGAATTCAGAGTTTACCTTCTCTTAGATGAGTTGCCGTCCAAGGCTGACGAGTCCCATCCACCTGGTGGGCTTGGAGTGTTGGCTTTAGTTGGGATTGAGCTCCAGACCACCAGCTATTTGGATTGTGTCAGTTTAGACCGCTCAGCCACCCAGCAACCCTTAACATTTATGTCCCTTGATACCGATGGCAACTTGAAATGCCCATAGATAAGATGTGTAGCATAATCTAACATTGAATAGACCTGTACTTACCCATTGTAAAGTTAGCTATTAATTTAAAAACATAAGGAATGCACACAAAAATGTTTTTATGTTTGCTGCAAGATAATCTTGAGAGTAAAACTCAATGAAAGTATATTGGCAGGCCAGACTACAATGAAATAAGCCCCCACATTTCATACCAGTTTTTTTTTAAAAATGCCTTGTGTTTTTTACATGGATGGTAGTGAATACTGTTACTTTTACATGGATGTAGTGAATACTGTTACTTTTACATGGATGGTAGTGAATACTGTTACTTTATACTTAATTAATTATGTTGGTGGGTTGCATCTTTTTATGCTGGCTGTTTGAATCTGTGTTTATTCCGCTGAGTTGATTCTGTGTCTACTCTGGTTCAGTGTAACCAGGTTTATAGTCATCTTTCATTTCCTTTGTTACATTTTTTTTGGTTTAGTTTAAAACACATCTTACAGTGTGTGTGTAATATCACAAGAAGATCAAAAATGAATTTGTATCTAATATATTGTTTTATATATGCCTGTGGATATTTCCAGGTTACTTTGAAAAGGACTCCTGTTGATGTCATCAAAAAAAAAATATATATAAGAATGAGCTAGAGTGATATAAAGCTAAAAGACAGAAACTGTTTTGATACGTTCGGATTCTTTAAAAAAAATTATTGTTATTTTCTATTATTTTACTGAAATCGAATAAATTGACACCCGCAAATAATATTTTATATCCGCTTTTATTTTAGTAAAAGTTGAAGTATTATTATTATACATTACAAGTATATTTAAAGTAACATCTAAGGAACTATTTTAAACCTTTTATGCGAATGTAAAAGCTATGAAAAAAATTATTAATCAAAGTATTATGATCTAAGAATTGCATCTTAATCACATTTATCGGGAAAATCCAAATGTCTGTTATTCTTAGTGCGTATTTTAGTGCTTTGTTAAATTAAAAAGAAAATTAATTTGATCTAAATAATTATGTAAATGACTCATTAGGGTGCTTGCCTATTTTAGCCACAGCTCTAAGTTTTTTTTAATTTTTTTATTTTATATCCATGTGTGACAAAAATGATAATGTATTTTCCCCTTTTTAAAAATAAAATAAATACATATAATATATTTCTTTTTAAATTGCTAAAATTTTCTAAAATTAAATACAACTTTAGCTTTGTATTTTTAACATTTAATAAGTTTTAATTTTATTATTTCAAAAAATATAATTTTATGAAATTTATATATTAGTGAAAAACGTACCCTTTAAATATACTTTTAATAAGCAAATGCCGTTTAATGCAATCAGTGCAGCGAAATTAGTTATCTAAATAGCATTCACTAATGCACTTATCACTCATCCAAATAAGAACAAAGCATGTGAAATGCAAAAATAATTTTTTTTTGCATAAGTAAGGGGGTTAAGATGCACTGGATGATTTTATTAATTTCTTTAAAGCTCTGTTGTTTGTTTGTTTTTTTTGGGAGGGGGGGGGGGGTAGAAGTCTAATACATTAGTTTCATTTCTCCAAGGTAGCACAAGATATGCCTCAAAATGAATTTGACAAATAATAAACCTTTTTAGGTACATAAATATGGGGGTTAGGAAATTGGGTGAGTACAATTTTACGTGAATGGCAATTTCTTTAAATCCAATGATGTTACAGTTGGGTAAAATGAATGCTCTAGTCTCATTTCCCCAATTAAGGAAATCAATGACGTCAACAAAACGCAAGTACATTATACGCATGAATATCAAATGCCATCATTTGACACAAGTGAAAATTTAATTTTCAAAATATTAATGGGTTAAGACTTTCTTAGATAATATATAGATAGACAGACAGATGGAATGATAGATAGATAGACAGACAGATAGATAGGTAGGTAGGTAGGTAGATAGATAGATAGATATATATAGATAGAGGGATGGATGGATGAATTGATTCATGGATGGATGCATGGATGGTAGACAGAACGCTTCTTTGAATAGTTCCGCAAATAGTATCTTTTATTCGGTAAACTATGTTTATACATATATAAAATTAATATATGTATGTATGTCCCGTATGTTCTCCTATACCATTGATCCGATTGCGATAAAACTTTCGTGAGTTGTTGTGCATAAGCCCGTAAATTTTTCTGAATTATTACAAACATTTTACAATATTCTGTTTTGGGCCAAAGGCCCTAAATTCTTTTTTTCTTATCATACTGTCATGAGCTAAATATAATTTCAGTATGCTTTCCTATACCATAATCTGATTGCAATAAGATTTTGGTAAATTGTTGTGCGCAAGCCCAAATTATTTTTTTCTTATGGGAGCTATACACCTATACTTTCAAAAAGAGCTACTGCATGGGCGGATGGATTTGAATAAAATACAAGCAACATTTCAGTTTGTATGAAATAATTCAGTTTCTGAATTAGTACAACCATTTTACAATTTGTTGCTTGAGGCCGGGGAGGAGGGGGGGGGGGCGCTTATTTGTTTTATTTAATTTTTTGTGAGCTATATACATATAATTTCAAACAGAACTGCTGCATGAGTTGATCATAAGCTACAAGTGTGTGGAATAAATTTTGAAAATCCATGCTTCTCACGTGGGCAGCTGTATGTGGCCTGTTTACTCATCGGAAAACCTAATTTATTTGTGCACACACAAGATGGAAAAAAAAAATATATATATATTTTCTATTTAAAAATTACTTCAAAAACGTAATTAGAACTCAAACACTTTTTTCTTTGAGTGGCATTGCAATGCATGCCGGGTTCTCGCTAGTTATTAAATAAGTAAATAATTATTACCCCAATAATTAAAGCTTTGGGAATATTTTTGTTTTAATTTTCTTTGTGTGGAATATTACATTTTTCTGTGTGCATAATCTTTTTATGGAGAAAATGCTATAACTTAACTGTGTTTAACTGGACTGGGCATAACTTCACTGTGTTTAACTTAACTGTGTTTAACATAAAGTGTTCAGTTGTATCTATGAGAAAGTTTGACTTAGAGTTTTCCCCATCGGTCACTCGAACATTTTCAATGGAAGGCAAGTCAAGGTCCTGCAACAGTGAAATGGTTTTATGTGACCTTAACTAAAATGGATTCAACTTTAAACCTGGTTTTTTCAAAAGTCATTTTTAATGACTGTACCATTACTTACCGTTATGTGCCTGCATGTTTTACTGTTACATAAACAGTTTTGTATACTTCTATTATGTATTAACTACTCAGTGGTTGTTCAAATGATTGGCTTTTCAGATCTGTGTATTTTTCAATGTTGATGCTGGATCAGTGATTCCGTTGTAATCAGTTTATTTAAGGCAAACGGTGCATGAATATATTATGGTAGTTTCTTTTTCATTTCAGGTAACAACCAGAATTGTTTTATTCATTTAGAGTTTGCTTCTAGTCATATACTGTGTATTACAAAATAATATTTTATCTTCGAATGTAATGTTCTCATTGCCTATAAAAATAAATTAAACCGTGATATCACCCTGAATAATTCATGGATGGGGTCCTGTCATAAAACTCACAATAAATGCCAACTAAAAGTCATACTTGTCATTTAAGCCATTTTCACATGGGGATACACA